AAAAAAAAAAAAAAAAAATAAGGAAAAATACTTTGCGGTACTTCTGTGGGGTGCTTCAGGTGCTGAAATATTTCTAAAATTTTTACAGAAAACTTACTTCCTCGTGTGGCAGTTAAAGAATTTTGCCGATCGGCTTAATGGTTATGGAAAAAAGCATGTTTTTCTGGAAGCCAAAATTACCACAAAAAAAATTCAAAAAATAAGGAAAAATACTTTGTGGTACTTAATTGCGCTCGACATTAATAGTTTAAGTGTGGGTCTGGACTGTTACTTCTCTGCCAAATCTGAAGTCAGTAGCTGCAAATTTGGTGCACCTATTACATTTTTTAATATAGTACGGAATATTGTGAATACCCTGTGCAATAGGTGAAAACCTTAAATATAAAAATTTTAGCTGTGTATGCGAGCTTTATTGCCATGTAAATGAAACTGATACCTGAAACACAGTCCTTTAGTTATTGCCCATTTTCAATAATAGGGGGACCCATTTTTCAGTTTTTTTTTTAAATTTACTGCGCACGCTGTACGTTATTGAAAAATTGTCAAGAATAAAAGTTTATCTTCTATGTGCTCTCATTCAAGAATGTGTTCGGTTCCATAAACAGCTTTCGAGAAATTACCCTTGCAAACGAAGTTTTTAATTTTTGAAAAATACTTCCCGGCTCCCCAACCCCCCTAATTTCAATAGGTTCTGTTAAGGGTCCAAACGCTAACCAAATGTTACTTGCCTGCCAAATATGAAGTCGATTGCTTCAAATTTCGGACACTTATCGTGTTTCATAGCAACGTCCAAAAAATAGTCGAAAATCGAAAAAAAAAAGATGAACGCAGAAGGCGAAGGTTAAAAAGGAGCAAAATTTGAAGCGTGTAGCTCAATCCGATCAGAAGTTATAGTCGAAAAACCCTGGAACAGAGAATGGAGCAACGAAGAACGGAGAACGGACAGACAAAAAATAAAAACGGTTTTTTATGCTAATTTCATCTGTACCAACGGATACGCTCTACGATGCACCGTTATCGAGATCTCGAGTTTAGTGAGGAGCGCGTATACTTTCGAAAAGCATCGATTTCATCGATTTTTTAAAAGTAACAAGGGGGGAGAGAGAATACACCCTTGTTCCCCGTACAGATTTTCGATTATTCAGATGTCCTGATCATATAGCTGATTGTTACGCGGCACATCCATTAACTTGGAGTGATACAGTAGTTGCAGTTTTAGATTACGAATCTGCAACAGAGGGTTGGTGCATGTTTATTCAAACACCGTCTATATATGACTTTAAATGAAATAGTAAGTTGAAGTTATGAGTTGTAAACCTTTTCATCATTTTCGTCTGCTGACACCACGTTGCTTTCGTTCATCGTTGGTGGGCGGGGCCTTGCCGGTTGATTACCGGCCTAATAAGTGACAATTGCCGCCGATTGCGATGCTCAGTTGTTTTCGGACGGGCCGTCCAGTTTTTGCGCGACCCGCGGCAGCCATATTTTCGGTGCGATTTAAATTAAAAGAATCCTGCTACGGTCGAGACGGGATCGTACTTGACGATGGAGGGAGGGATGGTCGCGCCGCGAGAATTTGAAAGATGGGAGGAGGAAGTCGACGTTTTTCTGCCCATAAGGTCGACTACCTCCGGACCGATGATGATTTTAGAATAGACCAATAGGTTCCATTACGGAAGCCCTTAAAGGCCACAAAATAAATATAGCTTTTAGTTTAATAAGGCAAATTTTTCAGAATTTCTAACGTAAATCAGAATTTCCGAAAAAAAGTAAAAATTTCTGGATAATTTGTCATAATTTTTGTACGGTAAAGTGCAAACTGGAATAGCACTAGTAGTAAAGTACTAGACATAATTCTGAATTTTCTCAATTTCTCAATTTTCAATTACTTAGTTTCAGGTTTTTCGACATGAAAATTACGAATTTGAAATTGGAGGGAATTAGTTTCACCGTATTATTTAGAATAACATAATGAAAATCTTGAAGAATATTTAATTTTTTACAGAAAAGTTTGTTTAGGCCCTCTAACTCTGTCAAATTTTGACTTTTTTGTATTCCAAAGGAATTTTGTCTGATTTTTTTATAAATACTTAAAAGAAAAAAAATGTACAGCTAGTTTCATAAAAACCTGATACAAAACAAAGTTTGTTTTGAACTTTAATATGGGATCTAAATGCAGTTGAGTTTTTTTTTATTGTGGTTATGTTTAACAGTTTCATTAACTATTTTAGCCAAAGGGTAAGACCATTGCCATTGCGTGAGCCACTTCATAACTACAAGAAAAGTGTAATCGGTCTCTTATAATAAATCTAGTTTCATTACTAAAAACTCTTGCCCTAATCGGCCTTTACTGTTTGTTTGCACACGAAATTATTGCGAGTAGTGGGAGACATCCTTTTTGGTAAATTTGTGAAAATGTCTTGCAAAAATGTATATTAAGCTTATATGGGTATTAGAGCATTCAGAATTTTATTCAATTTTATTGTTTATCGTTGGTTGTTCTCGTAAGTTTTTTCATTAAAAAACATCTAAACTAAACAGGGTCAACTTTTATTTACTTTAAAAATACAAAGATAATTTGTAACTTTTTAATAAACAACGTAAAAATAATTAGGTTTGGGTAAATGCAAGAATCGTAACAAATTTTAAGTTAATATTTTATGCAATCGCCATCCGCATCTATTACAGCTTGAAGTGTTCGGCTCATGATCATAAAAGGAGTTGTGAAGTTTTCTTTAAGAGAAAATTATTTGCATACTTCATGAATAGCTTGCCATATCTCCTCGCTGTTTTAAGGCAAAAAATTTCTTCGATACAGCCGTTTTTCATTATCCCTCATATATTTTAGTTGGGTTGATGTCACAACTGTTACTTGGCCATGGTTTTAATATTTGCAACTTGGAGTCATTGCGTCACGATGTTTGCAGTTTGAACAGGTCAGTTTTTTATTGGAAAATATAATTATTTTCTGGATAAAGCGGTGCTATACTGTTCTGCAATATTTCAGGATAAATTGGACCAAAAAATCTTCATTCGATCCGCCATACCACTCCCATTCCTCCGGATGACTAAAGATCTTGTCATTGGAAACTATGACGCCATCGCAAAACTGCCGTTCTTGTGTTTGATAATTAAGAGCGGCAATAAGCCGTGCTTGCTTCCCTTGGGGAGTGAATGCGGTTTTTTCCTGTCTTGTACTTGTGATGGCTTAATTCTTAGATAAACTGTGGTTTTACTGCTCTGAAAATCATCCGGGTCATCCTCGACTATCCGACGAAGCGCCTTGAACTGAACTAACTGTCTGTCAGATCCCTTTTTCCTTTCAAACGTTTCTCCCTGTCTCCACCTTATTTGTGACAACACTGACAATTTGTTTTTATTTGACAGTGACAGTATTAGAAATATGAAAACAATGAAGTTCGCATGACAACGACATGGTGGGACTTCTCAAAACTTTGAACAAAAGTGCTTTTGAAGAGTCGTATCAGTTCTTTAGGAGACCAGCCGTACCTACTGGGAGCAACAAATAATCAATAGTTGACAATAAAAATGTTGCTAATAGTAATAAAAAATACTTCATAATATTTTGGTGTTTATTACCTCCAGTTTAGAGATCGTCCATTTCTTATGAATCACCCTGTATATCTGACGTTTCGATTCCCAATGTCCCTTACGAGAGCCCTTAGTCAGAAATTCTGACTTATTTTGCAGAAATTGATTTGTTTTTACAGAAATTTCTTATTGTTCAGCGCCACATTCTTTTTTATGTCTCTTTCTTACTTTTTCCACCAAACGCGAAATAAAACTAGTCGTACATCAACCTGTGTTTGATTTTGTCGTTCCCTTAAATTGATTAACTTAAAATTCCCTAATTTTGAAATTTGAACATTGCTCCTTTATGTGTATTTATTGGAAGAGAATGAAGAAACCCGCATACCGATATTTATGTTTGATTTGTTGCGAGCTTCTCGCGCATCTTTGGATGAGACATCCAATTAGCAAAATGCACACATAGAATTTGCAGAATCCGTGCACTAAGCACAGAATACTGTAATACTATTTACAAATCTTGTGGATTCCTCCGGTGTCAATTCTTTTTAAACGTTTCAATCAGTTTAAATCAGTTGAACAGTGCCTAAAGAATTTTTTTTTACGGCTGTAATTTCGACGATTTTTTCATATTCTCATCGTTTCTTGATGGAGTATTTTGTTCAAGCTCATCTACGATAGGAATCTTTTTCTTGGATGAATGTTTACCTTAATTAATATGTTCTCAACAATGATAAAGTAAATAAAACATTATAAATGTCTTGCATACCATTAGTTTTTGGGTAAATTTTGCAAAAACAGTGACGTGAACATTAATTAATAATAGAATCCATACAAGTGTCGTTTTTAGTTCCGGAATTTTATAATTTTCTAAAAATGCACAATTTCTCTCTTATTTCACCGACACCACAACTTTAAAACAAAACGATATCGTTGGTATACACACACGTCCAATAAGTCTTAAAAATACAAGCGCCAATGATGTGTCAATAACAATTTGTTGACTTCATATAAAGGCATTTAATACAAACTGGTCATTCTTTTAAACTGCGCTCATAAACGATTCACCAAGTTCTGGCAACCCTCTTTTTCTACCCCAGTAACCGCAAGCCAAGGATTTCAATTATTTAAATGTTGATAATAATACACCTGCGGTTTACAACTACAGGGCACTGTAGGCTGGCTTTCGGATTCTCTAGGAATTACCACTTTTCGCATAATTATACGTGTAGATGGCGGTAATGTCGTTTCGTCAGTAGCGGACGGCAACAATATCGCTCCAAAACAAATTGGCAATAATTTTTTGAGGTCATAATTTGGAAAATTAGGCCTAAGAAGATAGTAATAAATAATTAAATGGAGGCTTCGAGAATTTCATTATCCGACCTAATTTTAAAGTTACTAGAAGCGAAGAGAATCTTAGAGTATTATTGATGGCATTGGCATTTATGCTACGTCTATGGTTTCTGCTTAATAATTGATGACGACGACCTCAAAGGGTGCGTTTCTTTACATATATCCTGCGATCGTTTTAAAAGCTCTAACACAAGTACGACATAATTATTTTCGCAAAATGTCTGAGAGGATGAGGTTGTTCCATTTTGCAAAGCTAAGCATGACGGTCGTTTGTATGTGGAGGCTGGATCGACCGCCTCTTTCCAAATTTGCTAATTTAATGTACCAATTGTATTCTGTTGTTCTGCGTGCAATTTTGTGTTCGGTACCGGCTTTGATGGCTGTCAATTTTCCCAGTCTTTTGAACAGCGATCCAAATTCAGGTAAGCCATTTACTTCTTGCATGCTGGATGTCGATTACCGATTATTTAAATTCAAGCTATCGAAGGAGCATCCAAAATGCTCTACTGCATGATTTTAGTTGTGAAGGCGTATTCTTATCAGTCAAATAAATGTAGAGATTTATTAGCAAAAGCGACAGAAGAAGAGTCGAGTTTGTATGATATAGACGACGACGACGTCACTAGAATTTACAAGGAACACGTCAGATTTTGTCACATGTTGAGCAAACTATTCTACATCTCCAGTATACTTTCTTCCTCGACTCTGTGTGCCATTGGTAGACACTTGGTCCACAAACATTTTCTTATTTTTACTAATGGCCGTTCCAGCGATTGTCAATAGCTACAAATTTTCGAAAATCGTCGACGGAGTCGGAGAAAAGCCCACCCCTCTGTTGTTCTGGTACCCGTTCGACAAAAACCGGTACCACATTTGGGTGATGGTTCATCAATTCATATCTATCCTCGTGGCCAGCTGCTACGTTTTGCCCAACAACGTTTACTACAACTCAGTAATGATTTACGTGAGGAGTCGCCTGCGAATACTCCAGCACTATTTCAGAAACTATCCTCAATACGCACTCAGTGGCAGGCTGACAACTTTGCAAATGTTGAATGTGCTGTGTGTGAAACACCAGGACTTAATTAAGTAGCGGTCCTATAAAAATATTACTGTAGCTTGCTAACAATATAGTTTTAGTTACATAAATGACGTTAATTGCTCCGTCAGAGATGCAGTATTTTTTGAATACAATGTCATTTCAGTAATACTGGCTACAATTTTATACCAAGTCGTCCAAGTAAGTAGTGAAGTTTGATGCCTATGCTCAAAAACCTCAACTTTTTGAAAACGGGTTTTAGTACAAATTATTGCAGCATTAATTTTTCTTTGTGGACTAATAATAAAGGCAGTTTATTACCTAAGTTGGCAAAAGAAGGTAGTGGAAAATATGTTCCAAATATCAATGTCTTTGTTTAGGGATGATTCAATGCTCAATGATGGGGGATGATTCAAAACTCTTTTAAATTGACAGCTCTTATACAACTAAACTTAAATTGGTGACATATCCATAGATTTAAGAATAAATACTGTTGTAATAGAGTATTTTCTTCAATTTTTTTATCAATCAATTTCTTCATATCAAAAAGCAACATAACACTAGCGGCATGATGAAGAACTAGTCGATCAGAAGTAAAATGGTTTGGATAGAGTGTGCTTTCTCCAACTGCTTTCGTTTGTTAAACAGTGTTTAGGAATTATAGCTGTTAATTTAAAAAATAAACCATCAACTCAAACTATGACTTTATTTTTAAAATGTTCGTCAAAAAGTGCTAAATAAAAATAAAGTTTAGCTTTAAAAGGTAGACATTTTTTTGATAGAGTTGTCCGCTCTCACTGTTTTATTATATTTTTGTTTGAAGTTAATTCAAGATGGATTTACCAAATTAATAACCCGCATAGTTTCTGAGATCCAAATTACCCAAATGTTCATGCCTTACTGAAAAAGACGGCCCCGAATGGTTTTTTGTTTTTTTTTGGCCTTTTCGTTTTCTTGAGAGCAATTCGATGGTGAAAATCAGAATTCGCTTTTATGTTCTGAGATCAATCTATATTAAAAGGTTTAATTTTTTACGATATGGATTAATTTCTCTCTTGTTTTAAAAGTTACAACAAATTTATTTATACATCTTTCAGGCAAAGTGTGTTGTTTGCTCCAAATTTTATCTCAACAGTTTTAGATTACCGAATTTTACGTTAAATTATTTATTCTTGGTCCAGACCGGAAATGTCAATGTCGTTCTGTAGCCAGAATTTACGCTAATAATAGGATCATTTACGCTTTCTTGGAGATTATCAGCGGACCACATTTCCTTTTCGTTTTTTTCTATGACATGTTATATAATTACTCTAATTTTATTTCTATTCTATTCTATTCTATTCTATTCTATTTCTTTATGCGAGGGCAACTTTCAGCAGCTCTATCTATATCTTTTATTCAATCAAATCAATCCAAAAAAATTTGCTCATTCCAGTCATCAATACCTCTCTAAACAAATCCAATATACCTGCCCTAAAACACTGACACTATTCAGCTTTTCTTTCCTATTTTACAAATTCAAAACATATATTTGTATTAGCATGTTTATTTATATGGATTTAAAATGATAGGCAGGTATTTTTTGGGCTGAACCGAACCTGGGTTTCTTGGCAACGTTGTGTCACTTTCTCCCCTTTGAAATACATTGGCTATATTAGGCACACTGTATTCCCAGTTTGACTTGGGTGAACATTATTTATAATAGTGTCAAAACCATTTAACTAACATTGTTGGATGGATACACCGCCATTTCGTGGAATTCCTTTCGAATTTCTTCACACAATACACCACAATTCCTTTGCGGTTCGATGTAACATTCCAGAATTTTTCAATACACATGTTAAATATGGCTAAAAAAGAATGCAAATCCATGCAAAATCTTACAACTTGTCTGACCTTATAGCAAAAACTTTTCAGGGCCAAGACACATTGTTCAACAGCATCTTCGCATTTGTCGTATGCATTCAGTTGATGATCCTAGCGTGGACTTCTGATGAAATCGCGTTACAGGCAAAATTATCTAACAACAAAGAGACAATCAAGTCGAAGTTTCCTGCTTCTAGAGCTCCAGTTTGGGAGCGGCGCTTTACGAAAGCAAATGGTTCGATCAAAGCCAAGAGTCGAAAGTTCTGATCGGAATCATGATGATGGGTTGTCGCAAGCCGCTCAGTATTAGCATAGGACCGTTCGGACCGATGACTATGTTGTCGGCTATGTCGGTATGTAAAAAGCGAAATAAATGTGCCCCAATGGTGTTTCTATCCTAAAACATGTTAAACGCCACTATTTCAGAATTATTCAACACTATTTTAAACTGTATTTCCGAGTGATCGATTGTTATAATACGTGATGACAGTGACAGTTTAAGATGGCGGTTGGATAGAACCATTTATTTGGATAATACGATATTTATTCTACAAAATAAAAACAAATAACAACCTTAGCCAAGTTACTTTTTTTCACAATAGAAAAACTTAAACATTTTTGTTAATATGCATGTTTCCATTTTAGCGACTAAAACTGGCGTACTCCTATATGTCAGTGATGACGTCCTAATCTGACTGCAAAAATTCGGCTGCTTTTGTAATATCACAAGATTATTGAATCAAATCCACCTTTAAATCAAAACGCCTTTTCTTCTTAGTTTATAGGACTGACTAAATTTTTGGTATTTGTCTACTCTTTTTAATAAGTCATTTTAAGTTTTCGCATTTTTTACTAAAATCGAATGTTACCTTCATTAAGAAGTTAACCAAAATTATTAAATTATTTTTTGGTTGTGTTACATTTCTCAAATGTGCCTTGAAATAGAAAACATTGTCAATAACGCTACCTTAGAGTAAATAAATTTTGTCTTGTTGAAACCTTACATTTAATTTTAATCACTTCTTTCTCTCTTTCTTTGACTTCACAACTCTGGGTGAATTTTGCAGAGTTTACTACATGCATTTTCCTTTTTCCATGGCCTTTCCAATGTTATCACTCCCCACCATTACTCACTCACCACACTAGATTTGTCAATCTGTTGCCTGGTATTTTTCTGACTACTGTAATTTTCTGACCTTTCCTACGCTCATTATATCACCATCTGTAGACACCTCTCGTTAGTTTATATTCGGTATTGTCCTGTTGCTTCTTGCTTGGTTGAGCCGAATATTTTACTCCGCACCTTCCTTTCAAATATCTTTAGTCGTTCTTAGTGTAGTTTTTGTGGTTGCAGTTCCTTTGATAACGTCATTAAACCTTGAACACCAAAGGGGCATGTGCTTGTTTTTAGCTTGGACCCTTGTATTTATTTGTTTCGGGATATCATTGTCTTCCTAAATACTTGCGTCAGGTATTTGAATTGTTTTACCCGTTCAAAGTTGTAATTATTAATAGAGAAGTTTTGTACTATCCTATCTTTGTCGTGGCCATTCTTATTGAGATACATATATTTGGCAAAACAAATCTATTAAGGATATATTAGATCCTTTTTAAGTCAACTTTTTTGTTTGATATCAGGTAATAGAGTTTCTAGGTATATTTTATAATTAAAAAACCACCATTGGAGAGTAAACATATCAATAAGTAGACGGTGCAATATCGTTTTTTTTTAGTAAACATATATTCCATTTTAGGGAAAATAAAAAAACTAAAATATCTTTTTTAAAATCAATGAAGTGATAAATAAGTGTAGAGTTATTTTGACTTTAAATGATATCTTTGAAAAATCCATATTAGTCTCAATGAAACGTTGGGTTCCATCGCTTTTTGACCTAACCTTATATACCATGTATAAAATTGAATAAAAATTTTAAGGCTATGACATGTTATTTAGATGGTAATGGTATATTTCTTTAAAATTTATCCAAACAAAAACAAGTTACACATGGCGAAAATCACAATAAAATAGCATATAACAAAGAAAATTTTATGTTTTAAAATCTTCTTCACTCGTTATCTATGATTTAGTTTGAGAAATAAATGGGTAACATTACATCCATTCGTCCGACGGTGTCCAACCATGTCACCATTTTAAGTGGTGTTTTTTTTTCGATGTATAGAACTTTAAGTTGCAATAAAACAACGATGGATTATTCGATTGGCATGAATTTTATTTATCCGAAAGATAATCTTGTGGCATTACATTTTAAATATGATTTCTGACATATGACCGCCACGGCTGGCGCGGATTTAGTCCAATCTGGACGTCCAATTTTCGATGACTTTTTCCAACATGTGTGGTCGTATATCGGCAATAACATCGGAATGTTGTCTTCCAAATGGTCAAGCGTTTGTGGCTTATCCGCATAGACCAATTACTTTACATAGCCCCACAGAAAGTAGTCTAGCGGTGTTAAATCACAAGATCTTGGAGGCCAATTCACGGGTCCAAAACGTGAAATTAGGCGGTCACCAAACGTGTCTTTCAATAAATCGATTGTGGCACGAGCTGTGTGACATGTTGCGCCGTCTTGTTGAAACCACATCTCCTGGACATCATTGTTATTCAATTCAGGAATGAAAGAGTCAGTAATCATAGCTCTATACCGATCACCATTGACTGTAACGTTCTGGCCATCATCGTTTTTGAAGAAGTACGGACCAATGATTCCATCAGCCCCACAAAGCACACCAAACCGTCAGTTTTTCTGGATGTAACGGTGTTTCGACATACACTTGAGGATTAGCTTCGCTCCAAATGCGGCAGTTTTGTTTGTTAACGTAGCCATTCAATCAGAAGTGCGCTTCATCGCTAAACAAAATTCTCTTATGAAAATCGGGAACCATTCGACGAATGTACGCCTTACTTGATGATCGTTTGGCTTCAATTCTTGCACGAGTTGGATTTTGTAAGCATGTAAACCAAGATCCTTCCGCAAAATCTTCCATAAAGTGGATGGACACAGATCCAATTCTTGTGCTCGATGGCGGATGCACTCATTCGGGTCTTTCTCAATGCTACGCTCTACAGCAGTCATAGATTCTTGTGTACGCACCGTACGGCGTCTCTGAGGATGCGAGTTATCAATAAGAGTAAACGTGGTGCGAAAACGTTCCATGGTTAATCGAATTAACTGCTCTGATGGACGATTTTGTCGACGATAAAATGGACGTAGTGCGCGATACGTATTCCGCACAGAACCGTTATTTTCGAAATAAAATTGCACTATTTGCATGCGTTGTTCAGGCGTGAGTCTATTCATGATGAATTGCCAAACCAAACTGAGAATAAATCACTTGACAGCTGTTAAATCGATCGCCATCTTGAACAGTAATGCCAACTTAAAGTTCTATACATCGAAAAAACACCCATTATATGGTCCACACTTTCTGTAACCAGGAAATTATTAATTTTATATCTTTATATTAATAAAAAACCTTATGAGCCGACCCCACAAGCATTAACTTAATTGGCAATTAGTAAATTATAGACAAAATTTCCATTACAATAATTAACTTTTACCTGGGGCTCTAAAAAATGCAAATTTGTTAATATTCATATACAGTGTGTATCAGCATTGGCTTTAGATGCTGTGTCAAAAATTGTACGTAACTTTTGAACAACATGGAGGAAAGAAAATATCTTCTTATTATAACATTGTGCTAATAGAAGAAATAGTTTTGGTTAGTTTATATAGAAAAGTTTTAAATACAAATGTTGTTTGCTTGAATGTCATGAAAAATATTTACCATTACATTACATTATACAGAAGTTGGGAGACTATGACTTGTTAAAAGTAAGGAGGTAAAAAAATGTTTTTTTTTTCATTTTATTTATCAATTTATTTATTTATTAATTTGTGGCACAGGCCATTTGTAAATATACCACGGACTAGGTTAAAATACAGAAATCTTAAATGTAATATTTATAACAAAACATTGATTATTTATTTCACTTAAGAAACTTCCATCCACACTTTTTTTCGCGCACTTTAGTAAATGCACAGATAAAAGTAAACACATTATAGCATAATAACAGAACGTTTCATTTGAAAAGATTTCGCAGCATTGGATGTAGTGCAAATTTTGAAGATAAACCGATGCAAAAATAAAACTGTTTTCCCAAAGCAAAATTATTTTCCAAACGAATCACGTTATAGGTTCAACAAAGTGAGCAGCTTTTATCTCATTTAACCGAATTAACAACTCTTACCGTTTTCGAGATAATGCCGATTTCATGATCTGGTCGGATATTGGATGCTGTTTCTATACACATTTTCAAAAAAATCATGAAAAGTCGCTGCTATAGTGCTAACAGTATTTGACTGTAATCTGGACATCTCTTCTAAACTGTCTTAATAGATAATTCATAATAGGTATTCTATTGTCTCACGCGTTCAACCCCCGATAACCACAAGCCAAGAGTTGCAAATCTGTAATTTCTGTGTAACACATGTGTGGTTTACAAACTACAGGGCACCGTACGTTGATACTCGGATTTTCTGCCACATCCCCCTTTTTCACATAATTATAGGGGAAGACGAGTACATGTCAATAATGCCGTTTCGTCAGTAGCGCGCTTTGACAATTTTCTTATGCCATGAGTGGGATCCCGAAATGAAAGTTATTGCAAGAATTGTGACCTAATGATATTCCTTAATTGTAATCAAAATCTAAACTTGAAACATGACGGAGAAGGACGGAAGGTTAGGTTTTGTCTATTCTAAAAGCAACCTCGATGACAAGGCAAGACTTTATCTATGCTAAGAGTATCCCATCACAAATGCGAAAATTATGGAACAGGTGAATAAAGACCATCGATGACAATTAAAACGAAAAAAGGAAGTTATCAGCTGGTCGCTGCAATATGTTCGAAGTTTTTGGAATTTGTTAATATTCTCCATATAACCAATCAAAACATGGGATAAATCTCAAATAAAGGCAATGGAATTCGAAATAAGTGGTTTTTATAGAAGCCAAAAATTTTGGGCAGTGGGGGCCTGGGAGGAAGGAAATTTGTGTGCTAGCGCAGAGTAAGGAAGTTTACTACGAAATCATCGACGAGCTCCATTGAAGGCACTCTAATAAGTTCCTCGGGATAATAGTTTGACATGGTTAGGAATTTTTTATGGTAGACGTCAGCTGTGAAAATGAAGCTTTCCTAAATAAATTCCTCAATAAGTAAAATTCAACCTGGCACTCGAAATTTTCGAACTTCCAAAAGAAGAAAATCAAATGACCCATCTAAATGTAAAACGCTGAAGAAAACGGGGAAAGTTAGCAATTGGTCGCCGCAGCTGGCAGCATGTTGGTCAACATTGAGCATTCATACCACCTCGTTGCTGCAAATAAGCTGAGAGAACGTAAATTAGTAATCAAGTGAAATTAAAGCCGTTCCGGAGTCTTTTCTGTGTTCACTCACCTTTTGCATAAATGCATTGCCCATTTAAATATTATACCATAAAGAAATTTATCCTTCAGGTTCGAAATTCTTCTAGTTCTACTACATTACATATTATTTTTATCTCGATATTATCAGAAGCTGAAACAGTAAAAATCGTTGTAGTTTTAATCAGTTTTTACTGTACGTCTATGGTTTCTGCTCCTTCCTTTTAATAATTAATAGCGCCTGTCATAAAAGGCGCATTTTTATAACATGGCGTTTAGACTCCGGAAACTCGGAGAGCAGGAACGGCGAAATTTATAAAATGCTGTTTTATTTTGCAAAACTAAGCATGATTGTTGCGTCTATGTGGAGACTGGATCTGCCACCTATTCCTAAATTTATTACTTTCATGTACCAATTGTATTCCGTAATTCTACATTTAATGGTTTATTCGATGCCCATTTTGATGGTTGCCAATTTTCCTAGCCTGTTGCAAACTGATATAAATTCAGGTAAGCCGTTTACTTCTGACTGATTTCGACGTGACAATTTTCATTCAAGCCATCGAAGGAGCTTCGAAAATGCTCTATTGTGGGATTTTAGCCGTTAAGGTATATTTATACGAGTCACATCGATGTAGGGATTTACTCGCCAGAGCTTTAGAAGAAGAATCGCGCTTGTACGCCATAAACGATGGCGATGTCACTAGAATTTACAAAGAACACGTCAGATATTGTCACATATTAAGCAAGTTATTCTACATCTCCACTGTGACGTCTTCGGCGACTCTGTGCGGGACAGGTAGATGTTTGGTCTATTAATATTTTTGTATATTTACCAATGCTATTCCAGCTATTATAAATAGTTATAGCTTCTCTAAAAATGGTGATGCAGTGGGAAACATGCCCATTCCTCTATTGTTCTGGTATCCGTTCGACAGAAACCGACACTGCATTTGGGTGATGGCCCATCAACTCTTAACCGTTGTGGTGGGAAATGTTTACGCCCTTCCGGTCATTGTTTACTACAACTCAATAATGATTTACGTGAGGAGTCGTTTGCGAATACTTCAGCACTATTTCAGAAACTATGATAAATACTCGATGCTCAATGGTGGGCTGACCACCTTGGAAACGCTGAAATCTTTGTGTGTGAAACACCAGGACTTAATTAAGTAACTACCATACTGGTAAATAACTGAACTATGCTGACTATACATTTTTAGTTATGTAGAAGACGTTAATCGTTCCCTCAAAAATACAGTGTTTCTGGAATACTTGGGAAGTTCAATAATCCTTGCCACTATTTTATACCACGTCATCGAAGTAAGTAGTACTTTCATTTACTGACAATGATCAGCAAGAGAGGCTTGCATACGGAAAAAATGAGATGGAAAAGTTACTTAACGCATTCTTCTCCTTCTATCAGTGTTATTGAACGTAGGGCACCACCTTTTTAAATTTATATCTGTCTCTGGTAGTCTGAATAGGTTCTTCAATTGAATTGTTCTACGCTTCGTTGCTCTTTTTCCCTCAATTTTGCCGTCCAGTATTAACTGTAGAATACTACATCTTTCATTTCTAAAAATGTGACCAAAGCACGCAGCCTTTCTTGTCTTCATGGTGGTAAGTAGGGCTTATCCGTTAAGCATTGTTTATCACCTTGTAAGCCTAAGAAACGTTAAGCGAGCGTCTCTATGTTACACATTCGTAAGTAGTACTGATAGGTCTAGATCATTGCATTTAAGTAACTTTTCACATTTGCATGCATTACGTGTCATTTCAATTCTTCTTCGGTTTTCCTTCTCTATCTGAAGCCAATATCCCTAATATCTGTTTTGCGTTACTCTTTTAAATTGTAAATTTTCGATTGTGATTGATGTCTGATGTCATGCTGTTCCTTAAGTATAATATATTTGAGCTGATATTTATTGTGTTTATATCCTGGAGTGTATAAAAAACGGTTGGAGTTTTACGTATTATCCAAAAAAATAAAAATGATATGAAATGTGCAAATATGCGCAAGAGCAATCGATCAATTTTTTATTATTTAAATAAAACCATATTTTATAAACCGTTTTGCCGAGTTTTCCTTTTATAGCCTAGAAAATGTAAAATTTAAGACGCAGAGCAGTCAAAGTTTTCAGGGTCACGATACGATGTACAATAGTATATTTGCATTTTATGTAAGCAACCAGTTGATGCTTCTGGCGTGGACATCTGACGAAATTGCTTTACAGGTAAAACATCTAGTGTAAAAGAGTCTTTTAATCGAACCTTATCTATTTGCAGAGCTCTAATTTGGCAACGGCGCTTTACGAAAGTAAATGGTTCGAACAATGTCCAGACTCCAAAATGTTGATCAGAATCATGATGATGGGCTGTCGCAAACCGCTCAGTATTAGCATTGGTCCGTTTGGACCGATGACCATGTTGTCCGCATTATCGGTATGTAAGAATATTGATTTAGACCTGTACTTAACCTTAAGAAAATCTTAATGTGGATAAACAACAATTTTCAAAAAAAATACGAAATCATCATTATAAGGGAAGTTAATGGTAAATAACACATTAACCTATTTTTATTTTAGCGGCTAAAGCTTGCGTACTCGTACATATCAGTGATGACATCCTAATCCAAGAATGGCACGAGTATATTGTTATCGCAGAGAGAAACCAACCAGGTTTTGATCATTTTTGTCGACGATTTCGGAATGAACATGTGTGATTATTTCAAGACGGATGATAATATTTGTTTGAATGGGATTAAAATTATACTATTTACTAAATTTTTGGATTCCTCCGACTAAGTTTGTAAATAGAATTATAGTAGTCTGTGGAAGTACCTTTAAAACAAAAAGGATTAAAAATTACTATTAAATTATTAAAAATAGCTTAATTTGTTTCTTATTTTTAATACAATAGATTACAATGAAAGTAAACTACGCAAAAAATGTATATTTTAAAGATTACCACTCCGCATATTAAAAAAATTATGTAATTTATAGATTTTCAACATTAACATTAATATAATATTATTAAAATATATTTTAAAAAGAGTTTTTAAAACCGTATTAACAATACGAATACAAAAAATTTCCACGCTTCCTGATTTCATGAAAATCAAACTGTTTAAGATGATAAATGGCACATGTTTAATAGGGGCTACAACTGGAATATATTAAGTGTATATTACATTGATTTTTTTGTTTTCGTTATTTCTGTTATTTCTTTGAATGAATACCATAATACCTTCTTGGTACTACATAATCGTCGGTTAAAATTTCCCAATATATATATATATATATACAGGTCGCCTCGAAGTCCGAGTCCGCAGCATTCCATGCATGTGCGGCAACGAATACATTGCAGAAATCGGACGAAAAATATTAAATATGCTGAAAGAACATGAAAGAACCTTTAGACAAGATAAAAATCATCAGCAATTGCCGAGCACAATTCGGACGTCAAATTTTATTAGATGTAACTGAAATTTTGCCATGTAATCAATTCTTCTTCCAACGAGAAATCCGGGAAATCTGTGACCAACCAAACAAAATTCACCGCTACTCACAAGCAGGTACAGAGTAGACTATGAGCCAGGTTCAGGCTCTGAAGTATGATTGAGGAAGTTTCTTTGAAAAATTGACACTCATGACATCACGATAAAGATAAAAATAAAATCTTATATAGCTATAATTGATTACATAGGTGGTCATAGACCTCTAGCAGGACAGGCCGTCTTACTTTGAACGTAGAAATTTCGACATTGAATTCACAGGAATTAATTTTTCTCCCAGGTAGCTTTTTCGGTAGTCTCAGTTGCTCTGCAGCAGCTCCAGCCTCATCAAAATTCAACTTATTCCCTTATGATAACTGACATTAAGGTGGTCGTTTTACCATCACATAGTTTTAACCAATTTTTTAAGAAGCACGTATATGAACGGAAAGCTTTGAGCTTAAAAATTTAAATGAGACGGAACTTGGTGTTTGCCACTTTGGAAAATTACAGGCTAAAGCCGCAAGAGACAATTGTTGGCATTCCGTTGCGAATTTTTTTCGCCCTTTAATTATGCCCGAGTTTCCCTCATTTAATCGATTTACCAATTTATGTTTGCGGATCAGGAACGTGCGTTCAGAAATTTCTGTGCAATCTTGTCCTTGTAAATAAGTATTCACTTTGTAGTTTTTTATAGAAAATTTTTATGTAACTTTATAGTACGTAAGGGTATGACACGACCATTTATATATGCTTCTGTCGATTTATTAAATGTTTATTTGTATTTTTTTGTGTTATAGGTTTGTGTTTAAGGTATAAATAATATTAATAACTATTATTATTCGTATTTGAACTCAAATACTGATTTTGCGTTCATTGTCATTTACGCTACGTCTATGGTTTCTGCTTCTTACTTTTAATAATCAATTTCGGCAGCCATAAAAGACGCACTTTTATAATATGGCGTTTAGAATTCGGAAACTCGGAGGGCAGCAAATGCCAACTTCCTAAAATGTTGTTTTATTTTGCAAAACTAAGCATGATCGTTGCGCCTATGTGGAGGCTGGATCTGCCGATCCTTCCTAAACTGATTAGCTTTATGTATCGATCGTATTCGGTAATTCTACATTTAATAGTTTATTCGATTCCCGTATTGATGTTTGCCAATTTTCCTAGCCTCTTCAGGTAAACCGTTGACTTCTAACTGATGTCGATTAATGACAATTTTCTTTCAAGCCATCGAAGGAGCATCGGAAATGCTCTTTTGCGCAATTTTAGCCGTTAAGGTATTTGTATATGAGTCTCGTCGAAGTAAGGATTTACTCACCAGACCTTTAGAAGAAGAATCACGAATCTGCGCCATAAACGATGGCGATGTCACTAGAATTTACCAAGAACATGCAGGATATTGTCACATATTAAGCAAGTTATTCTACGTCTCCATTGTGACATCTTCCTCGACTCTGTGTGGGACAGGTAGATGTTTGATCCATAAACACACCAATGCTATTCCAGCGATTATAAATTCCTCTGTTGTTCTGGTACCCGTTCGACAGAAACCGACACCGCATTTGGGTGATGGCCCATCAACTCTTAACCGTTGTGGAGGGAAATATTTACGCCCTTCCCGTCAATATTTATTACAACTCAATAATGATTCACGTGATGAATACTTCAGCACTATTTCAGCAATTATGATAAATACTCGATACTCAATGGTGGACTCACGACCTTGGAAATGCTGAAAGCATTGTGTGTGAAACACCAAGACTTAATTAAGTAGCAACCATACGGATTGTCGCATTATGCTGACGATCTATTTTTAGTTATGTAGAAGAGGTTAATCGTTCCCTCAAAAATACAGTGTTTCTGGAATATATGGGCAGTTCAGTAATACTTGCCACTATTTTATTCCAGGTCATCGAAGAAAGTAGAACTTTCATTAACTGACGATTATCAGTTTATTAAGCCTTACTTACAGACAAAAATAAGAATGAAAGTTACTTAATGCATTCTTTTTCTTCTTTTTCTATCAATGTTGTTGAACTTTGGCCACCACCTCTTCAAATTTATATCTGCCTCTGGTACTATAAATGGGTTCTTCAATTGAATTTGTTTTCGTGCCGTTCCTCTTTTTCCCTCAATTTTGCTGTCCAGAATTAATTGTAGAATATACATTTTTCATTTCTTAAAATGTGACCGAAGTATGCAGAATTGTTTATCGTTATGGACATAAGTAGAGCTTATGCTTTAAGTATTCTTCGTAGCACGTCGTTTTTCGTCACCTTGTCAACCTAAAAAATGTTAAGCCACCGTTTCTAAATTACACATTCGTAAGTAGTAGAGACAGGTTTCGATCGTTGCATTTAAGTACCTTTTCACATTTGCATGCATTACTTGTCATTTCATTTCTTTTAATGATCAGTCAATTAAGCATCTCTTAGATACAGATAAAATTGATTGATAATTTTTTTCTTCAACGGTTTCATCAAAAATGGCCGACGCCTTTCCAATATATTCTTATCTCGCTTTTAGTACATAGCTATATGGTATTAACGCGTAGATTTGAGTTATGTTTATTATGTTTATGTCCAGGATTGTGCAAAAAACGATATGCAACCGTTTTGCGGAATTTTATTTATATTTTATATATATATTTATAGCCTAGAAAATATAACATTTAAGACGCTATATAGTTGAAGTTTTCAGGGCCACGATACGTTGTACAATACCGTTTTTGCATTTTACGTAAGCAACCACTTGTTGCTTTTGGCGTGGACATCTGACGAAATTGCTCTACAGGTAAAAGATCTAACGTTAAAAAGCAGATCAATCTAACGGTATCCGTTTGCAGAGCTCTAATTTGGCAACGGTTCTTTACGAAAGCAAATGGTTCGAACAATGTCCAGACTCCAAAAAGTTTCAATTATTATTCTCTCCATCCTGCCATCAAGTGACAGTGTTTCAAAACCCGGCTAAAAAAAATGAGGAATCAATTTCACGCTTGTAACTTCTCTACCTTCTTCTTTCATAATCTAAGCGGACTCGATTGTCACATTGTTTTCAAAACTATAATATCTAGTCGAAACAAGTTATTTTGAAGCATACGATTTTTAAATTCGTTCGATGCGTGATTTCAAGTTTTCAAGTATTAAATCCGACATTTTGGGTATAATATAAAACAAATCGCCCATCCTCGAAGAGGACTGAATTCACAAAACTACATACAAAGCTTTTTTCTACTTCCGTTTGTAAAATACGTAATTACACACCGATCTAGCGTGCGGGACATATTCGTCGGACATATTTCCCATGGCTTTGAATTCTGACGATTGTCAATTATGACGGTCATGTCAGTGAATGCATTCGTGTTGTTTTGCGAAAATGTTCCCAAAAACTAACGGTCGTAGAAAAAGTATAGTATGCAACATGTTCGGTAAACTTTTTAAGTCACTCGTTTATTAAACTCTCGCTCCGCTGCGCTCCGCTCGTGTCAAATAAACTCGTGAGTCAAATGCCGTTTATCGCACTAGTTGCATAATATACTATAAACACGCTCCGAAAGCAAGGTCTCAAAAAATTAACAAAATTGTGTTTGTCCAATGTCTTTGTATTTCTGATGCTGCCGAAATACGTGTAACATTTTGTAAATAATTATTTTTACTATAGAAGAATCAGGTTTGGACGACTGCGCGTTTATCTTGGTCTTGAACTATCAAACCTTGTATAAAAAGTGGTGAATATTTTTGACTCAAATTAATTAGCACGTGCGGTTTTATGTCATAGGTAATCTGCTACTACTTTTCGAGGAATTATCTCGTATAGATAAAACACCGTATTGTTATTATCATTAAAGATGAATTACTTTTTCATAGGTTGTTCCTTTCTTTCAATTGCGATAGCCACAACGGAGATATACCTACGAATTTCGAATATTTAAGTGTAGAGAGTAATAATACAACCGTGGTTAACAAGTACAGGGCACCTTGGCTTGACACTCCGATTCTCTAAAAATTACCAGTTCACATCCCCTTTTTTTCACATAATTATACTGGAAGACGCGTAGATGTTGTACTAGTAATGTCTTTTGTCATCAGTAGCGCACGGTAAAAAAATTACTTCCCGAATAAACATTTTGTTTTTAGTACCAGGCATATTTTTACATAAGTTTCTGAAACATTTGTTTCAACTTCTCTTTTCTCATTACTCGGTGTGATTGGGGTTGACTGAGTGAGAATATTGTCAATTATGTTTATTGCGTCAATCGGTGGAATGCTAGGAAATAGGTTTTGGACGTCAAAGGAAACTAAATTGCTTTAGGAGTAGTTTTAATGTCTTTAACGTTATGGATTATTTCAAACGAATTTTTAATACCATATCAATCCTAAGCTGAGCTGTTTTTGATGTATTCTATTAATAGACACGCACTCAGACGAACCCTCGGTTATTTTACATTCTATCTTTAGCATTTCAAGATTATCAGAAACCTAACATGCCAGCCTTGTCGATATCCACGTTATACGAATTCATTTGTCCATTTAATTTCATTTATGTTACGTCCATGAATTCCGTTCTTCCTTTCAATAATTAATGGCGACCACCAAGCGACATGGGAGTTTTTACACACGTCGGCTAGAGTCGACTTAAAAACGAGACGATAGTCGGAGGAGAACTTATTCCCCAATATGTCTGACAGCAAAGAGCTGTTCCATTTTGCAAGACTAAGCATGATTTTGACCGGAATGTGGAGGCAGGATCCACCTCCCTTCTACAAATCCGTTAATTTTTTGTACCGGTCGTATTCTATAGTTCTACATGTAATACTGTTTTCGATACCTGCTTTGATGACTGCCAATCTTCCCGATCTCTTGCGATCCGATGCAAATTCAGGTAAGCGCTTTAGGTAAAGTGTGTATCGAAGTAGTTACGACTTTCTTATCGTTTTATTTATTTTATTTTTTATTTTATAATTTACTCGTAGGAAGGAGACATATCATACTATTTAACTAATTGTTCCATTATGTCGCAATGAAATCACTTTTCATTAGATGCAAAAGAATTTTTGAAAAATGTAAATGCTTATTTAATAAATGGAAGATTTATTAAACATTAAGCTTTAAGAAATCTGCTTATTTACAAAAACACCATTACTCTCGCTGTTAGTAGTGATGAAAGAAAAAAAAACCTAATGATTTCCAATCTTAAGCACAAAAAATCAATTCAAGAATATTGTATAGTCTATCTTATTGAGTCTGAAAGGAAACCCCCCACTTTCCACTGTGGTCCTTCTTTACATTCAAAATATTACTGACCATACATCAAAAGTTCTTAAGCAAAGTAATGTTCACACCAGATTTGCTACTTAACCATAATCCATCAACTTCTTCGATACATCAAAGACAAAATTGAATTTGAGACACCAGTAGATTCCAGGAATCCATGCATATAAGGCAAGGAATACATTGGTGAGACATGTCGAAAAATGTCAATTAGGCTAAAAGAATATGAAAGAGTACTAAGCATACTACAAATTGAGTCATCAGTAGTTGCCGAACATGAAACCGGATATCAAATCTTATTAGACCAAAAAATTTGTCGAGTCATTCGAGATAATGTTCATGTCCCTCAAACAGGAGCAGAATAGAATGCAGACCAGTTTCAGTTAACCTCTAAAAAAGCCAACAGCATGATTGGCAAAAGGAAGATTGATTTGCAAGTAGTAACCCTATAGAACATTTGTTACACCAAGTAAAATCAAATGTGAGAGAAGAAAATGTTTTTTAATTTTAATTAACAAACCTGTTGAGAGCTGGAAAAATGCAGTACCGGAATATAACTCTGATAGTGAAACAGAATTAAATTTTGAACAATAACTTACTCATTGTAATTTGCATATATTAAACATGTTTATTTAATTACCAATTAATTATTAATATACTCTTTAATCATTAGATTTTTAAGGGCACCTCAGAAGTCCATCCCTAATGTTCTGTAAGGTATTTTATGACCGTCGGCAGGTTACTTCTATAATTGCTGTCTAAATCCAAGACGTTATACTTTGAGAAAAAGTATACTTGTAACATGGTGATGGTTGATTTACTTTTTTGCTTGCAGCTATCGAAGGAGCGTCGAAGCTTCTTTACTGCGTGATTTTAGTGGCTAAAGTGTTTTCCTACCAGTCCGGAAGATCTAGAGACTTACTAAGTAGAGCTATGGAAGAAGAATCGCGCTTATATTCCATAAACGATGAAGATGTTATTAGAATTTATAAAGGACACGTTAGATATTGTCATCTCTTCAGCAAATTCTTTTTTATCTCCACCATGGTGTCTTCCTCCACCCTATGCGAGATTGGTAGAAACTTAGTTTACTGACAACGCTTCAAGTTAATGAATGCTGTTCTAGCGATTATCAATAGCTACAAATTTTCTAAAAATGCTGAAGCCGTCGGAGACAAACCCACCCCGTTGCTACTCTGGTATCCGTTCGACAAAAACAGGCATCACATTTGGGTGATGGCTCATCAATTTTTAACGGTTATGGTGGGCAATTGTTACGCTTCGGCCGTTTATCTTTACTACAATTCGATAATGATTTACGTTAGGGGTCGGTTGCAAATCCTCCAGCACTATTTCAGAAATTACAAAAAATACGTATTTCATGAGAGCACGACGACGTTAGAAACGTTGAGAGCTTTGTGCGTAAAACACCAGGACTTGATTAGGTTGCAGGTAGAGTAATGTGGCATGGAGGTGTTCTAACGATACGGTTTTAGTTATATCAATGATGTAAATCGCTCGTTCAAGAGTACAGTGTTTTTGGAATATAGCATCACCTCAGCAATACTTGCTACTGTTTTATACCAAGTGATCGAAGTAAGTAGTGCATCTCGAATAATAATAAGATCAATATCAATCCAAGAAATAATACATAGATTGTTTGTGTTCCTCATTTGGATCGCACTGTTACCAAAATAGCTACATTGAAAGCACTATTATTTGAGTATAAGTTTAATATTCCAAAGGGAGATTTGAATTTAGACTTCCTTTACGTTCAAAGCTATTATTTAATAAAATGTGTGATCTTCTTAGCCCTAGACACCCTAATTTTTAATTAAATTTTAACTAAATTTGCTTTTAACATGTCGTTTTTTTATCTTAACCAGTACAATTTCAATTCTATCAATCTTATTAGAATTTCTTGCAGTGTAGTATATTGCCTGCCGGTTAAACATTTTTTGCATCATTTCAATACAACGTTGCATCTAAACAGATTAAGAAAAGTTCAATAAACTAAGAAGTAAATTACAGAATGGGGCATTTACTTCAAAACTAGGGTATTATTGAATACCTAAATTCACCAATAAAAAAGAACAATAATAAAGACATTTCACAACAGCGACGAATATTACGGGAAATCATGCTGCAAATGTGAAAAACTAAGCAAATGTGCACTCCAACTAAAACTAAAAATGAAGTCTTGTTAAAGAAATGCAATTTACTAAATGAACAAGATAAGAAGAATTCTATTTAAGAAATAAAAACTAATAATAATAGTAAAACTGCCTTATTTCAATACGCTTTTGCAAAAATTGAAGTACAAATGAAACAACATCGACACATTATGTATTATATTTCGGGTGAATCCATTTCAATTCCTGAAAGTTTCCTCCACAAGACTTAATGTTCTTCATTTTTGATCTTCTTTTGTATAATAAATAATATTTTATGCCATATCGTACAATACATTCAAAATTAGTATATTAGACATCCGTTAAGCTCTTCTGTTGTCATATACCTACCAATTTCTGTATTAGCATAAACCTACATGTTTAATTTGGTTCATACAGTTTATATTTGGGTGAATTTCTAAGAAATGTGTATTTTCTATAAACTCAGCACTTGTTTTATTTGGCTCTATAAAATGATAAATCCTTATTGTGTATTGTATTCTAGCAAATATTCTAACATTTTTCTGGAAAATAATTAAAAACTCCTTCGCTTCAAATTATGCTTCATGTTTCTGTACCTAAATATTAAGGACTTCGAATTAAAAGCATAAAAATTGTCTTGGGTAGCACGAAATTGTCAATTTTTATGCTTTTAAATCGAAGTCCTTAAGGTGCAAAGGTGCATCAAAGGTTTAGAAAATTTGACAGATAATGGTGAAAATCTCCTAAAAGTTTAGTAGTCACATTAAATATGCATTACTTCAAAAAATCTTTAGAAAATAGTACAGGAGGGCAACATTAAATGCTAAAAATATTTACAACGATTTTTTTAAAATGGTGACATGTGAAATGGTGAAATGGTGAAATGTTCCTTTTTTCTGTTAACCAGGCCCTCTCTAAAAAATTTAACTTTGTCTGTCTAGATTGTTTTCTTTAAAAAGTTCTCTTCTTGGGCAAGAATCAGAACCATTTCACAAAATTGAATTCTATTTATAAATGATTCCAAAATCACAAATACAAAACCAAAATCGATATTAGTATAACCAAGTGAATTTTTGGTTGTCATTTGCAATTTTTTACAACTCGGATGATCATTCCGTGTCTTTTTGCAACTTCATTTAATCTATAATATCAATTTGTACTTCAGATAATTTGACGATTTAAAGGTATTGAAATCAATATATATAGTAATATTTAGCAATTTTCGTCATTCCTATAATAAGAAAAGAAAAGGCATTAATTAGAATTTCCATGATTGAGAATACAGCACAAATGGTCGAAAATTTTTAAATAGGTCGTATAGCTTAGATTTTCAGGGCCAAGATGCCTCGTTCAATATTATCTTCGTGTTTATCGTAAGCAGTCAGTTGATGCTTCTGGCGTGGACTTCTGACGAAATCGTATTGCAGGCAATATTATCTACTACCAAAGAGACAACTAATTAAAAAGTTTCTTTGCAGAGTTCTAATTTGGCAACGGCGCTTTACGAAAGCACATGGTTTGAACAATGTCATGATTCGAAAATGTTGATCAGATTCATGATGATGGGCTGTCACAAACCGCTCAGTATTAGTATTGGTCCGTTTGGACCGATGACCATGTTGTCAGCGATGTCGGTGTGTATTGAAGATTGCTTTCCCTAAAAAATGATTTATTTAACTTTCCTCTCAGCTTTTTTCGTTCTTCTTATTAAAATTAGAATTATTTGTTATATTTTGTCTGGTAACCACTATAATATAAACTAAATTCCAGGAATTTGAAATAATAACGAAAATTTTTATTTTAGTAGTTAGTAACACACCAACTGGTACCAACTTAACCTTAACTCTTTTTCAACTCACGAGGGAGGCCGTCTCCATTTATTATAATCCTTCAAAACAAGGTCTCTAAAAATAAGGTGGAATTTGTATAAAATTGAGTTGTCAGGTTTTAGATCTTTGATTCGAACCTAAAATTTGCCTCTCATATTAATATGGCTTAGAAATGACTTTCACACTGCGTAAGAATTTTCTTTAAAATAGGCCGATAGCGAGGTCTACATACTTCCCCAAAGTAGCACAGTCCGCTTTTTATCCCAGATCTCCCTAGAATACATTACAATAAAAAAAATAAATAACTAAATAGTAACCTGTATGACGATTTTGGAATGGGAAATATAATCAAAGTAAAATGCAAAAAAAACTTGAAAATATGTGAATTACCAATATTGATTTACTGATTGGTATATTTTGACCGCAGTCTTAAAAATCTTAAAAGATGTTAAATGGCACATATTTTTTTAGCGGCTGAAACTTGCCTACTCGTATGTATCAGTGATGACGTCCTAATCCGAGCAACAAGCGATATATTTTACGCCGAGACGCATCTGAAATAATTAAATTATTAGATTAAAAAAATAATAATAGAATTGTAGCATTTAAAAAGAATCAGGAGTGTATTCACTATAAGCTATATTAATTTCCAGGTTTTCGTTATACTTAGTATTTACTTTAGTATTTTTGTTATTTCTTTGAACAGATACCATTCCATACCTTCATGGTACTGAACTTGCATATAGTCGGTTAAAATTTATAATGAACTGTTTAAGTGGAACTCTTAATATTCAGTAATTTAAGTTCAGCTATTTGTATGTAATAGGTTTATTTAATTTTATAATGCAACTTTATTTAGATTAGCTTAAAATTTGTTACTTCCAACAGTGTTGGTATGATCATCAATTTAAAAATATATCTGTAGAACTGTATTATTTCATTATCCAAATAAATCTTGAATGCTGTAAGCAATAGGCTTAGTTTAAATCCCTTTTCCAGATTCTTCAATTCTTCAATGTTCAATTTCTTTAAACCTAAGTTTTATTTATTTTAATACGAGACTTTATAAATCTGCATATATTTAGACTAAGTTTTGGAAAATTACACTTACCAAGCTAACCTCTTACTTTTTTTTACTTTTGCAGCACTTGAGTTATTATTGTAATATAATAAAATTTGGGATAGACTATCACGCTAACTCACTTGATACTCCTTAGACCACCAAGATGTCCCTTTTAAATAACATATTATTTTTTCTCATTTTTCGTTTCGGTAAAGTTGAAGGAATTTCAGTGAAATTAATCATGCAGATTATATATTCTTAACCAAACTAAAAGAAATATTTTAAGCTCAGTGTGTTAAAATTTTGAATAATGGAAACATAATTTTAGTGCCACATCTCTCTGGACTAAAAAAATTAAAAAAATAAATTATTAATTATTATTAAAACGATATTAATAATTTATTTCGAACCAACTATGGCCGTTATGTGTATGTCATCAAAATAAAAATAAAAATAAAATCTTAATGAATTAATTTCGTTAAGGTCGTTATGCACAAGCTGTTGTACCTTGAACGCAGAAATTTTGACATTGAATTCATAGGAATTGTCCTCTGGCAGAATCAATTTTTCTCTCACATAGCCTTATGGGTAAGTCTTACTCTGCGGATGCTCCAGACTCACCAAACTTGTATTTATCTCCCTATTGCAACTTATATTAACGTTGACCGTTTACTCTATCAGATATGTTTCCAGCAATTCTTTAAGAAGCACATCTCTGAACAGAAAAAATTAAGCTTTATAATTTAAAACAGTCCTTGGTACTTGCGGCTTTGGAAAATTACAGACTAGAGCCGCAAGAGACAATTGTGGGCTTTCCGCGGCGAATTTTTTTCACTCTTTAATTATGGTCGAGTTTCCCCCATTCAATCCACAATTAAAAATTAATATTTGCGAAACAGGAGCGTGCGATCAGAATTTTCGCTAGAGCCTTGTGCTTGTAAATAAATACTCCCTTTTTTATTTTTTAGAATATTTCCATGTAACATTTTAGTACGTCAAAGAGGATGGCCATCTGGGTAATACCAATCAATCGGTGGGAAAAGTATTTTTTTTTCTCATATATTATCTTAATTACTTACTATCTTATAGGCCAATATGCAAACGATAGGTTTATTATTATCAAATTCTCATACGGCAGCCTAAAAACAAATTATATTTTTTTTCTTACAATTTGAATAAACATTTATTAACAAAATTTATTAAAATATTGCTGATATTTATTGATTTTTACTCTAATTAATTTAAATCTAGTCGTAATTTCCGTAACAGTTGCAGTAGCAGTATTCAATTTTGTTGTAAAGCTGTTAAAGTTAAATCGATTGTAGAAAAAATATTCTATGTAACTATACTCGATATGCTCAACACGAAAATAGCAATTGTTAATTTGCTTTCCTTCAATAATATTTCAACAGATTACTTTTTGTAAAATTTTATGCAAAGGAAAATAAAAAATGTTTTTCCTTTTATCTTATTATTCATGTATTATATTTATATACGCTGGTTATTTTTTGTTTCTTGACTTTTGTATATGAAAAATGAAAGCTTCAAAAACTCCTCTCCCACCTTAGCTTTTAGGATTGTATATTCTATCCTTTAGAAAACAGAAAAACAAAAGCAGACGTCAGATTAAATGGCAATAATCTAAATGACACTAGTATACCTATTATTTCATTTTTATGTTATCGAAACAACATGTAACACATATCTGAGTAAAAAATTATCGTCGCGCCTATGTTTGACTCCAAGAAAATACATGCTTTAAACGCTCCAATATCGAATAGAACGGCAGTTGCTTGTAATGGCGCCCAACACGAAGTTATTCCGTTTTGCCAGAATTACAATGATATTGACGGGCATCTGGAAACTGGAAATGCCTCACCGGTCGAAAGGATTCCGACATATATACCCGGTTTATTCGATGGCGACCCACGTGATCTATGTCTCCATTCCTCTTTTCTTAACCATGAACTTGCCACAACTTTTGAAAACTGACTTAGGCGAAGGTAAGGCGGTATCGTAACCAAAGGACATTCATTTTCTTACAAAATTTTACAGCTCTCGAGACGCTATCGAAAATTCTCTATTGCGTACCGCTAATGACGAAACTGTTTTCTTATCAGTCTGAGTCTTCAAAAAAGTTACTATCGAAGGCTATCAAGGACGAGACGCGCCTGCTGCAGAGCGGAGACCGCACGGTGGTCAACATTTACGCAGATCATGTATTTTTTTGCAACCTGCTCAACAAATTCCTCTGGATATCCGCCGCAGGCGCTGGTTCGTTGCTCTGCGAAATAGGTAAACCTACAAAAGCGGGCCGACATGGTGATCACTTTCGCTGCCGTTGCAGGCATCGTCGGTAGTTACAAATATCACAAATTAAATATAGAAAGCAACGAAACTTTGCCGAAACCTTTGCCGCTGCCATTCTGGTATCCGTTCGACGAAAACAAGTACCACATCTGTGTTCTCTTCGAACAATTGTTCGTAATAGTGTGGTGCGGATTGTCAGTTGCGGCGGTCCAGATTTTCAGTAACTCCATGATGATTTACATGAGAGGACAGTTGAAAATATTACAGAACTACTTTAGGAACCACCACAAATATTTGAGCGTTAACGTTGTAGGTAATGGCGGCAGTCTCAATACGTTGAAACTTTTATGTGTTAAGCATCAATATTTAATAAGGTAAATATTAACAGTCGCTTCAAATTTTCGTATACTCAGGAGTTTTTCTACAATTTATTTTGTGGTTTTCATAAAATAAATCCGAAACGCAAGTTTCAATTGTTTTGCAACGTCAATCAGACTAAAAAATTCTACCACTTCACTAATTTAACCGACCTCGCAGTTTCAATAACAAAGGAATTAACAATAAGTCCCATTTGAGCTTGTTTACACCTTTCACTCTTCAATATAGTTTAATCAATTTGCATCAAAATGGTATGCTAAATAATATGTGACATGTTTTTGACTGTAACGAAAATTTTGAAACTATAGGGTGGTCCGTAATACAGACTGTTAGAACCAAAAAAGATTTAATAAAATGTTGCTCGTTTCGGTGTTAAAATTTAATTTTCAATTTCACCTTTATTCCATAATTTGATCAGTTTTGAAGTAAACCACGTAAAAATTCGGACCAAAGAGTATTTGGGGGTGAGAAATTTGATTCTGAACTTAGTTTATGCGAAAATAACGTATTTTTCTTCAATACCGATAAATCGTTTAGTCTTCCATAAGATCAATTTTGATCAAATTGAGTCAACCAAATTTAATTTTTCAATACACGCAGACTTCAGCAACTGGCATTATTCATTACAAATAGGCTTTGACTTAAGATGGCAAGACAGCATAAGTTACAGAAGTATTCTTTCCATTGTTTTTGTATTAATAAACTTGAGAAAATGCCGAGGCATAACTAACGCATTAACGAAATTTAAAATGCGAAACATGATTTCTGTGAATGCTCAAAGTAATACAATGAACGTTTCACAGCTAGAAGATATGCCGAATTATACCCTAATCCCAGACAGCCAAAGCATAGTATCTTTCAAATACTTATATCAGATTATGTGGAATGGAAGAACTTGGCCCCAAGCATCGTTCGTGCTAAAGTGGTAACTCTCATACAGGAAGTGTGTGTGGCGGAAATTATGATATAAGCACAATGCACTTACGTGCAAGAACAGGGAAAAACAAAACTACAATTCTCATTATCCGCCAGCAAAACTGCTTTTTTATTTACGGACGAAGCCACCTTTGCCAAGCATTGTATTTTCAATCATATTTGGTGAGAGAAAGGCATTTTCAAATCTCTCACCGTGCAATTGGGCAAGACATGTGGTTTTTTCAGGATGGTGCGCCTGCCCATTATTGTCGATTGGTTCGAGATTTCCTGGATATTCACTAAGATGAATAGGTCCTGGTAGCTAGCTGGCAGCCTGGCCTCAACCTTTCGGATTCTTATTTTTGGAGCCATTTGAAAGAGTTAATTTATAAGAAATAACATCGCGTGAGGGTCTTCTACAGAAGATTCATGAAGAAGTTGATGGCATTCGGAATAATGATGGTACCTTGTTCAAAGTCAGGCAGCATTTAAGTAAGGAAATGAGTATTACGGTCAATGGTTGACATTTGGTCTAGTTACTGCAATAGTTCATCAAAAAGATTAATTGATTATTGTTAATTTGTTGATTGTGTCAAAGCGTACTTAGGTCAATAAACGAAACACCTATTGACATTTGTTGTCGAAGAAAGGTAGATTTTATTTGTTTGGCTGTTCGAGTTAAAAGTTTTGGGTAGAAAGTTGAAACGTCTATTACTATGACGCTACAAGCGACCTAAAAACTAAGTTTAAACTCAGATTTATCGTACCCAAAAATCTTTTATTCCAAATTTTTCCATCATTCTCTACAAAACTGATCAAATTATCAAATCAATAATAAATTGACAATCAAATCTAAACACTGTATTTTTTAAACCAGCAGCATTTTGCTATAGCATTTTTGACTAGGGTGATGTAATTTGATGGAAAATGTATGATCCACTCATTACTGTGACCTTATATAATGCAGGAAAAATTTGCACAAAAACACGGTATAGAACTTTCCAAATTTATTCAAAACAAGTCTGATAAAACACTAAATTATTATCCAGATAGATCGGCACTGCTATAGTACGGCGTTCTCAAGTTCTTGCTGATGATAGTTTTCCTGTAACAAATCAATGAAATTAATTAATTAAATCAAAAGTGTTTGATGCAGTTGATAGAATATTATGTTATCTAATAACAGTCAATTAAAAAGTGCCATTGAAGTGAAGATAATTTTGAAACACAAATTACATGTGTAGACAACAATTGTTTTGTCCCGAATCATTTTCTTCTTTATTCATTTTGACAATGTTTTTTGGCTACCCACCTCACGTAGACTTCACCTTCCTCTCTCTCACACACAAATTACTTAACAGAAATCCTCAATTTTCAGGTACATAAACAATGTTAATGGTGTTTTTAGAAGCATAGTTTTGATCGAGTACAGTATCTCGTCGGTAATGTTAGCCACCTCACTCTTGCAAGTGATTGCGGTAATCCGTGGATTAAGCTGTTTTAACGCTGATAAAGAGATTACAATTGTAGGGTCACAATGTAACCTACAATGCTACTCACATATCGGTGATAACGAGTCAGCTGTTACTATTGGCTTGGTCGTCTGACGAAATCGTAGTCCAGGTCCGTCTTTCACACTTTCACACCGTCCGTCACACTTTTATTTTTAAAATTGAGTTCAATTGATAACTTTCTAGAGTCTAGAACTATCATCTGCGCTTTATGAAAGTAAATGGTACGAATGCGAAAGGGGGTCTAGAATTTTGATTGGTATAATGCTGATGAGATGCCAGAAACCTTTGAGTATCGATATAGGTTCGTTTGGACCTATGAGGATTAAGTCAGCAATGTCTGTGAGTATCGAAGCTACACATGTTTTATTTGACATTTATTTTAAGAGCACATTTATGACATTTATATTTGAGAAGCTTGTTAAAGAGCAAATTAATTTATTGAAAAGAATATACTGTACTAAACAAAAAAAGGCAATATTCCAAAAAAGAGATTTGCTTACAATCTCTTTCCTATTTGACGAGTCAAGCAAATAGTTTCTGTCTCTGACATCTATCACTTAATCGCTTAACAGAAAGGCATTTTAAAAGATAACTGCGATAGCCAAAGATAGTCAAAAATTGGATACCCTTTACACACATCATTGCTAATATTGGTACCTCCTAAAATTCTAGCGTTTGAAGCTATCATACTCGTATGCATCCGTTATGACGTCGTGACTGGAGACATTATAGTAATGACCGTTATTGTATTTAAATAAAAAAAATGAATAAAACCGCTGTTTGAATTTCAAAACGCGCGTAGGATGCGATAGTATCTTGAGAACTGTAAGGTCGGTAAATTATCGAGTGCAGTTGATGAACTGTTGTCTCGGTTCGGGTCTCAAGGCCTTCTATCTTCAATATTGGACGTAGAGTATCTAGACAGTTTATCTAATTTGCACCTAAAAGTGGTAGAAAATAGTAATAAGAAAATTTATAACTGACACGAGTTTGTTTAGGTAAGAGTGTTTGTATATATGAATCCGCTGTATCTTCGTAAATAATATCTGCAGGTGTTCTAATATTTTGATTCCATTGATGTTAATACCTTCATTAATGTTATCCAAAGTCTATTGAAAAATAGTCTCCAAATATTTGTTTTGCAATAATTGTGACAAAATACACCCCTATTTCACTCCTCATCAAATTTAATATCATCCGTTTCCTGAGTCTATTTTTTGGTGTTAATATAAATTTGTTATTAGATTGTGTACTTAAAGTCTTTCGATTAATTTATTACGACGCACCCTTTCAAACACCTTTATGTAGTGGTTAATATCTCTGCATTGTTCTACTAACGCCAACAGGCGCGTGGGTCCCAAGCCTTTTCAGAAGCCAAAATGTTGGTTTGTTACATTTTTTATATGTGGGTACAATTTTGTAAATCAACACTAATACCACGATACTACCTAAGTATGTGACAAACATACAGTTACTGAGTGACGTATGACGTCACTGTCCGAATTAAGATACGTCAAAATACTATCTGTGGCTAAAGTCTAATAAAAACATGTGACTGCTCTCAGTCCGTGACTAATATTACATTGGAAGCATCTCATTGTACTCTATAATGAAGCTGACTTTTTAAAGTGACACTTTGTGCACGCTTGATCGGTGCATAATAAAAATTGATTTAAAAACCATCACCAAACGGTGTCCAAAGTCGTTTAAATTGTTTTGGTGCAATTGTTGTAATTGTTTTATTTCTCTAGAACGCGAAAGACACTAAGTAAAGGTTAGGGATCGCCCAAGAATGAGAGGTGGAGCAATAATAGATGCGAAGTGTCGGTAAATGCCTTTTTATCGCTGATTCTTGCTTTTACTTTACCGGTACTCTACAACTCACTTTTTCAGTATCTAAAAGGAGAAAGAATCTTTACCGGTATTGATACAAACATCTAAGTTATTCTATATTACAACAACGTCTCAAGATCAACCTCTCATGTCAATTTGAAGGTATAGTATTAGGCCATTTTAAATTCGAAACATAATTTCTCCCTCTGAGGCTATAATTTACAACTGATGTTATTTTGTTGCGATAGGGAGGTTGATTTTGGCACGTTGTTGTAGTAAGTACTTAGTTGTTTGTATCAGTAAGGAGTGTGTCTTGTTCTAAAGTCTTGATGAAGCTTATATCAAGAGGCGAAAAACATTGAAAAGCTACTTACACTTCATAACTTTTGTTGCTCAATCTCACTAAAAGTTTGTATGTGCATAATTAAATAATATGCAAACAACAGTTCCAACTTATATCTTATACATCTATTTTTTATAAGTTGTATCTCCAACCTTCTAAAATAATAAGGAGAGAGTAGGGACTTTACCTTTGGAAATAGAGATTTATCTTAACGACCGATCAGTTGTAACTTGGCTTGTCAAAAGCTAACGTCGTTGCAAGGCGCTTAATATTTCTAAAATGGCGTGGATTCATGGCGTTAAAATATTCAATATTGTCGTCCCGTGGGGCTTGCCGCTTTGGAAAATTACAGGATAGAACGGCGAGAAAGAATTTTCAGCACTTTCCATTGTAAATATCTCTCGCTTTGTAATTACGTTGGAGTTTTCTACAGGGACTTAAATATTTATGTTACCGAATCAGCGGCGTACTTTCCAAAAAATCGAAGATTTTTATAAAAACTTTGAACATATTTTTTGTTTTATACAACCATATTAAATAAGTTATTTATTAATAAATTTATATATATAAATCAGCTCGTAAAATTTTTGTTATTTATAAAATAACACTATATATATATATATATATATATATATATATATATATATATATATATATATATATATATATATATATATATATATATATATATATATATATATATATATATATATATATATATATATATATATATTCTCACGTATTCCTCCTGCATCCTGCAGACGTTTCGCCAAAATCTCACTTATATATATATATATATATATATATATATATATATATATATATAATGATGACACTATATTCCGGGATATCATCCGTTCGCTCGTTGAACTCCGACTGGAATCCTGCATCCGACTGGAATCCTGCATCCGACTGGAATCCTGCAGACGTTTCGCCAAAATCTCACTTGGCATCTTCAATGCTCGCGCTCCGAAAACACTTCGAACACTCGGAGCGCGAGCATTGAAGATGCCAAGTTTAGATATTTTATATATTAATTTTGTTTTTTTTTTCAATTTATTATATTTAACAGACGGAGTGTTATTTTATAAATAACAAAAATTTTACAAGTTGATTCCTAAAGTTATTGTTCGTTTATTCGGTTTTATTTGGTGTTTGTCTTTTTAATGTAGTTTAAAAATAACTTACTTTTTTTTTAAATAACTCTATTCCTTCAAACTGTAAGACGGGCTTTTTAACGTAAAAATGATTTTGAACCCACGCATTATTGAAACAGGTTTAGCTATAGAATGAAACCAGAATAAGAAATTCATATAATATTACCAGCTTAGAAAAAGATCACCCTATCAAAATTGGATTTCCACACAAAGTTAGGTCATAAGGGAACTAATTTATTTTCTATAATATTTCCATTAAAATAGAGACTCCGATTAATAGGAATTTCAATATAAAGAGAGGAAATACAAAATAAACGTAGAAGTCAGTTCTGTAACTGATTAGAATTCACAATTTCATATCGCAGGAGTGTGCCAGAAAAATCGCGTAAGTAAAAACTATTGGGGGCCGCCCATGTCTATACTTGTCACAAACCGTGCCTTTAAATACTGCGGCAATGGAAACATTTTCAAGTACTCAAAATGACCCCCGACACAGAGTTATTCCGCTTTACCAGAATCGCAATGATCCTGACGGGCATCTGGAAACTAGGGACGCCTCAGCAGTCTAAGGCCTTTCCAGTTGTATATCAGGCCTATTCGATACTGGCACATGTGATATATGTCTCCATTCCTTTGTTTTTAACCATGAACTTTCCGCGACTTTTGAAAACCGACGCAGGCAAAGGTATGGTATGGTCCATCTCAAAGTTTATCCTCTTATGAAATCGTCTTATAACGTATTATATTGTATTTTCCAGCTCTCAACGGGTATGTTAATAATTAGACTTAAAGGTAGGACTAACATTTAATTTTACTTGCCGTCACAAGTGATCTATGCTTTTAAAATATAATTCTGTAATCCCTTTTCAAGAAGTCTTTAATATTTTTCGTAGACAACAAGTTGGAATACATTCCTCTTCTAATTCTGTATTTCGAGCTATTTTTGTTTGACAGTTTTTACTGCCATCAACCCATCCTTTGGATACTGCGTCGCGTGTATCGAACTAAGTTTTATCTAGGTAAATTGTACATCTGTTTTCGGAAATATACTATTTGATTTGCCGAAGCCGAAGCGCAATCTGAGTGCTTTCATTGCCACTTGTTTTTTGTCTATTTTTCGGAATTTAAATCCCATTTTACAAATAACTTTATGGAGGGTGGCACAGTTAATAACTATGACTATATTGGCTTCCTCTCCTTCTCTCCCTTTTCCGTTTATCCAAAATAGGAACAATCTGGATTTGATGAACGGAATGTATTGTTCTTCTTATCGTATCTTATTCAACACAGTCACTGATGTCTTGTCCCTCACCTATGAATAAATAACTAATTGTTTAGTATAACCAGTGATAATATGTATGAAGATCATAATTACTTTTGGTGGAGGGGTCCTTCAAATACTAAGACGATATACTTTGAGACACACCGTACGACTCGAACCGAACGATTATCTCAGACGAGAAAAATATTTAGGCTTCGAGACTCTTTCGAAAATACTTTACTGCGTATCGATGGTGATTAAATTATTCGCGTACCAATCTCGGTCTTCGACAAGTTTACTCGCGCAGGCTATTAGAGACGAGGTGGATTTACTCCAGAACGGCGACGACTCTGTTATGAAAATCCACGAGAAACACGTATTTTTTTGCAACTTGCTCAACAAATTCTTCTGGTTGAGCACCGCAGGCGCAGCGTCTTTGCTCTGCGAAATAGGTATTCAGTGGTCCCTAAAATTCGCGTTCTGAGGTAGTTTTGACTGTCGTTGCAGGACTAGTGGGTAGTTACAGAGTTCATCGAATGAATAAAAAGTTCAACGCGACGTTGAATAAGTCCCTGCCGCTGCCGTTCTGGTATCCCTTTGACGAAAATAAGTATCACCGCTGGGTTCTGTTGGAGCAGTTCCTTGTAATATTATGGGTTGGATTTCCCGTGGCGACGGTGCAAATGTTCAGCAATTCGGTGATGATTTATATGAGAGGACAGCTGAAAATATTACAGAGTTATTTTAGTAACTACAACGAGAATATTACCTACGTTGGCGATAATCTGAAAACACTGAAGGGGCTCTGCGTTAAGCATCAACATTTAATTAGGTAGTATTACGTAAATCAATTGCGTTTCAAAAAATTTTCTGTAAATCTTTCGATTTATAGGTATATAAACACCGTGAATAGTGTCTTTAGGAGTATAGTATTTGTTGAGTATAGCATCTCGTCGATAATGCTGGCCACGGCACTTTTTCAAGTGCTTGCGGTACATTCTTCCTGCTATCAATCTACCAAATCGTATAACATTTATATTTTTAGGGTCACAATGTAACCTACAACATAACTCATATATTTGTAATAATCAGTCAGCTCTTACTTCTAGCATGGTCAACGGATGAAATTGTTTCTCAGGTTCGTTTCCTTTGTAAATCGAATGTGTCTACTGATTTATCGTTTTAGAGTGTCGAATTAGCTTCGGCACTTTATAGTAGCAAATGGTACGAATGCGAGAGGGAGTCTAGGATTCTCATTATATTCATGCTGATAAGATGTCAGAAACCTTTAAGTATTGATATTGGTTCGTTTGGGCCTATGACACTTCGATCAGCAATGTCCGTAAGTATAGATTTTACGACTTTTTTAAATTAAGCAACTCAAAGTAAAATCATGTTAACCTGCAGTAGGTAGTTGTGAATCAGTAACGAAGAATATTCCATTATAATTCATAATTTAGGGGCACCAAGTGCTTTGGAGAGAATCTCAAATCGTCAATTAAGTCTTATCTCCGACATCACTTTTTTAGAGATCACTTTTTTTTACTATTTACAAATCTGTGTCGGTTGTTGATGAGTCGAACTTGCTGACGTTTCGCCAATCATCTAGTATACATAGCCTGTGGAAGTTTCTTTGAAAAAATTTTTTTTTTATTTGGTGGATAGAAAGTGTAAAACTACTTTTTGGAGGAAAATGCTTTCTCGAAAAATGTTGTGGAAAATGGTTGTCGCTAAGATCATACATGGTGTTGAAGGTGGCACTTAACTCACCAAAATATATATAATTTTAACGCGTGTAAATATTTTGAAATTGGTGATATCTAGTAATTATGAGAAATAAAATTTTGTATTCGAAACTTTCAATTTGACATAGTGGTTCGAATGATGAAATATGCTTTTCATATTTTGCAGATGTGTCTTGAAAATATGTCTTATTTATTTCTTTTTGATGATATAGCCAGCTATCTAGAGAAATTTTTCATTTATGGAGACAAAATAGTCAGGAAATAAATCTCAACTTCAATATTTCAATTAAGAGCCCAGAACGTATTTTTTTAGGTACCTTTTGAGGGGATATGACATCTGTATCAGGAGCATTATAACAAGGGATTTGAAATTAATGGTTACTCACCTTGAGCAATTGATATTTGTGGTCTTCCCACTTGTTTGTCTATATAATAAGGGGTGTTTTTTTTCGATGTATAGAACTTTAAGTTGCAATAAAACAACGAGGGATTATTCGATTGAAATGAATTTTATTTATTCGAAAGGTAAACTTGTGGCATTACATTTTAAATATGATTTCTGGCATATGACCGCCACGGCTGGCGCGGATGTCCAATCTGGACGTCCAATTTTTGTGGCCGTATATCGGCAATAACACGGCGAATGTTGTCTTCCAAATGGTCAAGCGTTTTGTGGCTTATCCGCATAGACCAATGACTTTACATCACAAGATCTTGGAGACCAATTCACAGGTCCAAAACGTGACATTAGGCGGTCATCAAACGTGTCTTTCAATAAATCGATTGTGGCACGAGCGGTGTGACATGTTGCGCCGTCTTGTTGAAACCACATCTCTTGGACATCATGGTTATTCAATTTAGGAATGAAAGAGTTAGTAATCATAGCTCTATACCGATCACCAGTGACTGTAACGTTCTGGCCATCATCGTTTTTGAAGAAGTACGGACCAATGATTCCACCAGCCCATAAAGCGCACCAAACAGTCAGTTTTTTTAGATGTAACGGTGTTTCGACATACACTTGATTATTAGCTTCGCTCCACATGCGGCAGTTTTGTTTGTTGAAATTCGCTTATGAAAATCGGGAGCAACGGCAATCTCGTTTTGGGCCCATTCGACGAATCTACGGCTTACTTGATGATGGTTTGACTTCAATTCTTGCACGAGTTGGATTTTATAAGCACGTAAACGAAGATCCTTCCGCAAAATCTTCCATAAAGTGGATGGACACCGATCCAATTCCTGTGCTCGATGGCGCATGGACTCATTCGGGTCTTCATCAATGCTACGCTCTACAGCAGCAATAGCTTCTTCTTTCTGTAAGAACCGTACGGCGTCTCTAGGGATGCAAGTTATCAATAAGAGTGAACGTGGTGCGAAAACGTTCCATGGTTAATCGAATTAACTGCTCTGATGGACGATTTTGTCGACGATAAAATGGACGTAGTGCGCGATACTTATTCCGCACAGAACCATTATTTTCGAAATAAAATTGTACTATTTGCAAGCGTTGTTCAAGCGTGAGTATATTCATGATGAATTTCCAAACCAAACTGAGAATAAATCACTTGACAGCTGTTAAATCGGTCGCCATCTTGAACAGTAATGCCAACTTAAAGTTCTATACATCGAAAAAAAAACACCCATTATAAATAAATAAAGTAGCAGTTTATAGATTATAAAAAATGGCTAATTATGAATTTTTGTTATCCATGTTAACTACTCTAACTAATGTAACTAAAATACGTTTTTAATTTTAGCGTTTGAAGCTAACATATTCGTATACATCCGTTATGACATCGTGATTGTAGAGATTGGGGTAATTATTATCGTATTTGAATAAAAAGAATTGTCAAAAAGGACTGTTTCATTTTCAAAATTGCAAACTTTTGTTTTTGAAAATAATTCCATTTTTTTACTTTTCTTAAAGGTTCGGTTCGCGTGGCCCTAACTTAAAAATATTTAGTCAATTTCCTTTAAAATTAGTGAGCATCCAATTAGTTTTGATGAACGAAATGTACAGTCGGTTTCACAAATCCGTTGGATTTAATTAACTATCCAGAAGATATATTTAGATTTAAGATATATACCTAATTAGTTTTAATTATATACAATTAATAGTTAATTCCTTTCATTGTATTATTACCTCCCCGCAAATTGCTACTAGGCCATGCCTATATTGATATTCAATATTCCACATTGAAATCTCGCGTTCAAATAAATAACGCTTGTCATTTCAACATGGCCGATGACAGTTCGTCAAGTCCCCAGGTTTCAGTTTAGAGGTAGCATTTTTAAGGCAGTATTTTCCCAAAATAAGCCCAGATCTCGTTAAATGATCTGGTGTGGAGGTTATAGCTATTAGATAAAATAGTGGCCCTACTACGGTAAAAACTGATACGCCGCAGGCGGCATTGATATTTTCGTAGAGAAGGAAACGATTTTCCGAACATGCCTCTACATTTCATCCGCTAACTTGTACTTTGAGCCATTTCTACCTTCTTAATTTTTTGTTGTTGTTGCTTCATAAGTTCCTGTATTGTCAGCATAGGCAGGGAGCCTATATCTCTAATAGCTATATGATGGAGATCGCTGCTTAGAATAAAAACGACGCAAAGCGTAGGCTCGGATGTGAAATTTAGGGGCGTGCGCTCTGAGTTCCATCAAATTTTACAATGATTTGCCCACTATATTATTTAATAATATATGCTCACCACTTATACTAGCTTATTTTCCCTTAAATTTGGTTTTGACTGACCCTTTTTACATCTCAAATCATCATGATGTTTGGACTGCAAATGTCTGAGTGCCGTTAGTTTACCATAAATTGCTACAATAGGTATTTGGGTATAAGTAACGGGTTAGGGATTTAGTATTATTGGGCTAATGGGTACTGGTCCTTTTTTTCGTTTTCCTATTGACAGAGTAGACATTATCAGAACTTTAAACTCACTTGGTTACACGTTTAACCATTTATTGCCACCTTTCTTGACGTAGGACGGAGCTTAGTTTGCTGTTAGATTACTGCATGACCTCATTTGGTCTAGTCCAGCCTATTGGTGAACTCTATACCTGGGTATCCTCATTTCGTATTTATAGATAGCCGCAATACCTATTGAATCAAACTTGTAAGAGACTATTTTGAGCTTGCTTACATTACTTTGGTTTTTGAGTAGTTAATATCTAATCCCTCCACTTCTTGTTATAGCAAGATCTCTAAAAGTTCGTCTTGGGTGTTAGTTTACGGCTTAGAACCGTGATTCCACCTTTATTTCTTTATACTAAATAATGAATTGATATAAATAATTAATAATTTTTAATTTGACATTAATTAAAAATATGGCCTAACTGCCGCTCTTAGATACATATATACAATTTTCTGTAAAATAATAAAAACATCTATTGGTTCCGTTAAATTTTTAATGATTTAATTTTAGTTGAGATAATTAGTTAAATAATAAATCATCATTGGTATATTATTCAACAAGTGTGGTAAACGGCACTTGAGTCACGAGTGATTTAAAAAGTTTTTTGACGCCCTTTTGTAAAATACTCAATCTAGCGAGCGAAAAGTGTCATTTTACCACTTCATTTTCGTTTTTCATGAATCCAAGCGACACAGCATATTTCCGAGATATTACCGCATGGGTGTACAACAGGTTTGGTATACTTTTTAAGTCACCCGTTTATTACTTACTCGCTTTGCTGTGCTCCGCTGGTGCCAAATGAACTGCAATGCTCCCAAACTCCCGTGGTAATATCCCGGAAATGTCCGAAGTGGTTCGCAGCCGTAGGTAAAATACTAGAGTAGAAAAATAGTCTGATTGGATAGTTTCCTTCCACCATGAGATTTCGAAAATGGGCGTACGTCGATAATAGGATTATAAACAACCTGGAGCAAAAATGAAAAAATGTGTGAACTTGATGACAAATGCGTTTGACAGCTGTAAGCGGCACAACACAACAGTAAAATTTTGTCCATTTTGGTTAGTTAGTTAGTTCTCCTTAATTCTAACACTTCACATCAGTTTTATTTACTAGACAAAAAAAGTAATTTTAACAATATACAACCGATATGTTAGTATTTTTCGTATATTGCTTAACGTGTATGCGTACGAGTAAACTGCGCTTAGAATTTCTAGAAATTCAGGTAAATTACAAGCATCCTCGTGTGATGGTCCCGATAAAATATTCAACGTCTTTCGTCCCTTGGGGATTGCGGTTTTGGAAAATTATAGGCTGGAGTGTCGGGACAACATTTTCAGCACTTCCCGTTGTAAATATGTTCCGCCTTATAATTACGCGGGAGTTTTCCGCGTGTAGGTAAGGTTCAAATATTTATATCTGAAAATCAACGGCGTATCTTCCTGACATGGTTAAACGTCGAGCTTTTTTGCAAATTACAAATAAAATTATTTTGTGTTATCCACATATAATTAGAACAGACTTTTAGAAGAAGGGAAGTACGGTCATCCATAAAGTTTACTCTGCATTATCCTAATGGATATTAGGATATTGATTGATAGTGTAATCCGCAGTTATGACTCAAGTTAAAAAGTTAAAAAACATACAATATCTGTCCTAAAAACGCTTTATAATAAATTACGATTTTAATGATAATAATTAATAATGACTTATTAAAAATAAATTAAAAACATCTCTTCTAGAAACAACAAATCAATAGAATTGTAGCACTACTGTATTATTTTTTTTATTGCCTTGCTAAACTGTAGTCTTATAGGTGAACAAATTTTATTATCATTGACTGGCAGTTTTTAATGGCCTTTAAAGGCAAAAATGTTTGGTGCGCTCAAGTCTTTCGTCAAGAAATATACATTTAAAATGTCTCGACAACGGAAATGCTAACAACTGCTTAGAATGACCACGTCCAGCACGGAGTTACTTCGTTTTGCCAGAATGGCAATGATTCTAGCGGAAATCTCGAAGTTAGAAATTCCCCATCGGTCGAGAGGTTTTCAACTTGTTTATCTGATTTATTCGATAGTGACCCATATGATATACATCTCCCTCCTCTCTTGTTAACTACGAACTTCCTAAGACTTTTGAAAACGGACGCAGGCGAAGGTATGGTATGTGGCGAGGTGGTGTTATCAATCATCTAAATCGAATATTTGTATTATGTACATGGGATCTAAATATAATTTTATTGTGCAGATATGCCGGAGATTTAAAAAACGAAATTCGATGATAAAAACAAGCTAAATGCATCTCTCTCCTGCACTCCATATTCAATCAATTGGCATCCTTAAGTTTATATGATATTCTCGTCCAAATTTTCGTATTCCGTATATTAGACGAAGACAAAAATTTGACACTTTTTGTATTTTGTTTTTTTCATATTTATTGACAGTTCATGGCGACTACTATACAAAAGCTTTAATGTTAAGTATGCTCGTTGAATACAATTTGATATATGCTTCTCAAACCTCATTGCAGAATCAAAAATAAGTCACAGATTTCTTACATTGTCTTTAATTTCCAAGTTACAGTCTCTTATTTTTATATTAACGCTGTTTTTTATATTAAAAACGTCATTTTTGGGACAAAAATCAAATAGTTAATGCTTTAAAGAGATTGTTCTTAGATTTTCCAGATCACTACTTATTGCTCGACAAGATTAGAACAAATTATCTTTATGGAATGACAGATATATCTGCGTATCATCCGCATAACAATGGAAGCTACAGTGTTCGCGTATTTTGTGATTATTAGAAGTGTTAATAGCATACAACAGGGAGCTAATAACGGAATCCTGTGGTACCCCACCGGTATCTCTTCCGACGTCGTTTCCCTAATCTTAACACGCTGCGTTCTTTTACTTAAAAAATTTTCAAAAAATTGTATAGCCTGACCACTTAACCCAATATAGTGCAAAACTGCTAACAATGTTTTGTAATTTATTGTGTCGTATGCTTTTGAAAAATCTAATAGTGCTAAAACTGTGACTTTACCGCGTCTGTAGCCCTGAAGATGTCATCACTGACATTTGCCAGTGCCGAGGAACATCCGTGATATCGCCTAAATCCAGACTGATTTTCGGGAAGAACCTGATTTTTGAAAGACATGACAGGACACTAACTGATCTTAAATCTTTGAATTCTTGAGGATTATTAGCTTTTGGTAATGGTATTACCAAATCTTTTTTCCATGCTTCTGGAAAGACGCATTCTGAAATACAGAAGTTAATTACGTTAGTCAAGATTGGTAAAAGAATAGTAACGACTTAAACTGTATGACATCGTTGGAAAGTTTGTTCATATAATCCAAGTTAAAATCACCCACGCAGCAGAGGTTGTCGCTTAGTAAGTTAATTGAAGTCAAAATATAAGTTTATAAAATGGCGGCCTCTAAACAGATCCGAAAACACATTTTCCGGAGAGTCAATTTCACCCAAATCTGCTCAAATGTTTTGTGAACTCATTCCTAATAAGTGTACATCCATAAGAACCTCTAATAGCCCACACCTCCACCACGCCTCAGTCTATCCTGACGCAAAAAATTATACCCTTCAATTTTAACATCATTGTAACTTATGCTATTATTTAAACATATATGTAACGATTATTTAACGATATTCCGACAATATCAAAATTTTGCCCTTGAATGTATTGCGCAAGTTCATGCAAACTTGGTATTAATTAATAACTTTAGTAAAAAAAAAAACATCGGTTCTAATATAAATACCACCAATAAAAATCTTTACACTAATAAAAAAAAAGCCCTAGATCAACTGACAGTAAAGTAAGGTAAAGACAAAAAAAAAAAACAAAAACAACCTGTGAAACGGCGCAATGAAGCAACACACATCACCTGTCACATCACCCCCAAATAATCATTAATTAATTAAGTTTTTGCACATCATTTTCGTCGTTAATTTGGATTTTTATGTTGTGCTGTACAAAAATGTTACCTTTGATGGTCCATACTTGATTCTTGAATCTTGAAGTGTTGGGCACCAACTAACACTTCACAGATCATAAACCTTTTAATTGACTTTTTGCGTAAAAGATCTCGTCCCGTCTCCATTGAGTGACAAATTCAACTACGTTAAATGCACGATTTCTCGCTGCTTTCTTAGTTTCAGGCACTTTTTTCTTTAAACCATAGCAACAATTTATTTCGCTTTTTGATATTTCAATGCCGATGTGTTCTTATAAAATCTAGCATTTTATTTAGAAGATCTTGCTGATTGTCTTTACGAATACCACGAGTTTTTTATAATTGTTTGTTTTTTGAGTATTATCAACGTGACGTTTGTTTTTATGTAGATCTGAGTGCAGGCATGCAATTTCCTCCCTTAAATCCTCCATGGAATTTTTGACATCCAACTCAAACTTCTGTTGTAGTTCAAACTCAGAAGTATCCTTAGTGCCATCATATATTCTTCTCGCTGTTTATCGAGACGTTGTTGAAATTTCGCCTCCATCTCCGCCATTTTGACAGTAAGATCCTGTGCCACTTGACTTGAAGCCAAATTTTTCCTGGTTCCAGTCATCTTCACACTAAAAACACATCACCAAGTGCACCGACTATACACTTTTCAGCAAATGCAGTTTGTTTTTACGCAACAACTTTTAATTTTACTTGCTTAAAACATACTCAAAATCATAACAAACAAAATTCTAAAGTATTTGAACCGAAAACTGCATTTTAAAACAGATTTACATACGTTAAACCTTCGTTTTCGGGGTAGCATTACAAAAGCCGTTAATAAACTTCTTGCTAAAATACTTCAATAAAAAAATGTGGCTACCTTTAAAACGCAATTATATATTTATTTTTTAAATAAAAGAGGAGTAATTAATTTCAAGTTAAACTTTTTATAAAAATTATTATTAATTATATTTTAGGCTTTATTTTAGGCTTCTAACATTTTATCTTGTCCTTCTTCGATTTTATTTATCTTCTCAGGGTTGAAGCATCTACTTTTTTTTATATAAAGAAAATTTTCTTTACGAACAAGTATTTGGGTTAGGTGGATGAACTGAATCTCACGCGTTTTTTTTTTTTTCGTAAAAATTTCATTTGGCACCTTCAGAGGCTGCGTCACTTGTAATTGTAAGCACTTACACATATAATACAGGATTAGGAAAGTAAGTACGTTATGCACCCAGTGTAAATGACTCAGTGTTAATGATTGTATTAGCCCAAATATTTGCATTTATTTGAAGCATTTTGAAAAACACAGGATGTTAAAGACTGCGCGTCAGCTACATATAGCAAACGTTTAATTGATATAGGCTTCCAAAGAAGCAAGTATGTCATATGTGTGATTGCGGCTTGTAAGCGTTCCTAACGAAGCTAATGTCTTAAAGTCACATATTCAGTACGCTTGATCTAATAAGGACAAGAAAAAAGTACTTGTGTTTTAAGTGTGTGTCCCCGTATGTCGGTAACTAAATTGGACATGAACTTTTTGTTTTATATTCATACAGGGAAGTTTGGAAGCTTACCTGGTTGACCACCTCGTATTATACAAGTAATGGAAAGAGAAAAAACCAAAATATTTTTACAGAGTGTAACCTAGACTTAGATCTTAGAAAATGTTTACATATTGTAAGGAAGTGTTGGTCACTGAGTTGTGAACACAATTCGCATTCGGTTTCGTATTTATTTTTTAAATAATTTTAATAATGATTAACGTTAGTGATTGCAATTGGTAGTGATTTTATCAGGTATATATTTGCTTGTGAGGACTGTACCTTGAGCATATTAAGCTCTATGTTTCATTTTCACCTACGATATGACGACCATTCAAGGTATAGGGTTTATTAGTATTTGGCCGCAACTTACGGAACAGGGTCGTCATGTGTGATGCGAATCCGTTTTAACATTTCCGTATTTCAAGCTATCATTCTCGTATACATCCGTCATGAGATCGTGACGTGGTGATGGAGTTCTTAAAAATTGTTGGAGTTTATAGTCCGAACTTTTAAATAAAATGTCTCTTAAAACTTGAACTTATATTTATCCACCTGACTGTCAGATTAGTCCGAGCCCTTTAGGGAAATTGAAAGCAGAATAAAGAAGAAGCAGTGAAAGTGAAGAACCCTTAGATGGTCGACTGAAATTGATCGATCTCATCGATACTGGTATACATCCCGTAAAAGATCGTGCATGAATATGGGGTATATATATTGTGTTGGTGTTTATATTCCGAAATTTTAAATAAAACGTAAATTCCCACATGAACCACCCAACCGTCAGATTAGTCCGAGCCCTGTCGGGGAATTGAGAACGGGATAAAGAAGAACCAGTGAAAGTCAAGAACTCCGACAAAATTCGGTCGATCTTAGGGTTCTTCACTTTCACTAGTTCTAATGGCTCTGTCAGAGAACTAGAGTTTTTGAGTTACAGTCATGCCGTCGTGGAGAGTTATTCTGTAAAACAACAAATTAAAAACAAATACCAATTAGTGTAACCACAAAATGGGCATATGGTGGTGGGGGATTGCTTTAGTTAGGTTAGGTTCGTTATATTTTTCACTCACGCACTCGCGTTCGATTACAGAATCCTACCACTGGTTTAGTATTGCCATTAACCAATAGATGTAGACACCTATATCAACACACACACAAAGAAAAGCGTGACAAGTCACGCTTTTCTTTGTGGGATCACCACCATCGTAGAAAACGCGTAGAGGACGCCTAATATATAGAGAAAGGCACCAACATCAATTTTTGCATTTTGCATTTGCAATTTTTGTTTGAGACAGCTCTTGTACTAGGATAGCTATGGTTTGAGGTGCCCTAACAAATGGAAGCTAATTTTTGGACAAAAACGTGATCACTCAGTGCAACTGCAAAATATAATTTTTTAGCAACACAATTCTCCAGAGCACATACCGCTGTTGTTGTTTGACTTTGTTGCTTCATCTTTTACTGGGTGTAAAACGTTACCATCATGAGTTAATCATCATCATCATCTGATTCCAAGCATGTCGCGATGATGTCAATACCTACGTTTTGGGGCATGTGAAATGTTTAAGAATTCCTCCAAATATTTTTGTCAATATTTAGCCATATATTATGAAATATATTAACCAAATGTATTTGCATTTACTGGCAAGTTCTAGTTCAACTAATCAAAATAATCATATCTAGCTTTCATCGGTCCTTACCCAACACACCACGTTCAATAAAATGCAATAATGCGTTTGAACTATTTCAGTGTCGGTTTTAAAAAGAAAAAAGAAAATTAAAAGTAAATAACATGGGAACTGCTGATATTAAAATACGTAGGGATGAACTGCTTCGCAAAATTATAGTTTCGGATCAGGATAAAATGTTTTCCAGTCTACATTTCCTCGCTCTGTAATTACGTATAAGTTTTCCTCGTGTGTGGGCGTCTCAAGATGCATATTTAGAAATCAGTGGCGTGCGATAGTTTATAAAAACTAGTAATAACCTGTAATTTTAGGAATGAAAGATTTTAAATTTTTAGACTACTGGAAAATCTGCAGTGAACAAAGTTTTTACTGAATTTTATAGGACATCGTACTTATTTAAGAAAGAATGAAGGGCAAGAAAATAACTTGATAACTATGTCGATTAAAAAATGTATACCTAAACTAGAAAACTTTTTGTCCAGAATAGTTCCAGAACAATAATAAAAGTGTGGAGAACAAAATTTTGTTTATATTATCATCTTATCAAGTTTCATACCTTTAATTAAACGTGTTTCACTAAGGTGTATATACTAAAATTCAGATCTTAAAAATTAACCAAAGTTGAAATTAGGAACGCCTATGGACGACGACTTTGAACTGCCACCCCTAGGACAGTATTTCTTTAAAAGCTGGCAAAACAGAAACTTGTTCGTTGTTCTGAAAACGATGTCACACTCACAACTATTTCGTTTTGCGAGAATCGCAATGACTTTGGCGGGTATCTGGAAACTAGAACTACCGGACGCGTTAAAAGGTTTTACTTGGCTCTATCCCATTTATTCGATAGCTATTCATGCAATATATGCCTCTTTACCTCTGCTCTTGGCACTGAATTTTCCATACCTTTTGGAAAATGATCCAGGCGAAGGTGGCATTTTAAATATATTGATTATTATGAAAATACGCGAAATTTTCAGCGAACGAGTCCCTATCAAAAATACTCTATGGTGTTTTACTGATTGCTAAAGTGTTATCATATGAATCCGAAAGTTCCAAGAGTCTGCTCGTGCGAGCTATTAGAGAAGAGGACGCTTTGAACAAATACGGAGACGATTTTGAAAAAAGAATTTACCAAGAACACGTCGTGTTTTGTAACCGGCTCAACAAATTTATTTTCGTTTCAGCCGCAGTGGCTGTTTTTCTGTTATGGGAAGCTGGTGAGTCGCATAACTTACCAATAGCTCTATGAAAAGCGTTTAGCATTGTAGGAATAACAGAAAGTTATAATTCTCATAGACTACGCCAGAATGAGAGTCAGACTTTCGCGAAACCTCTGCCGCTAAGTTGCTGGTACCCTTTCGATGAAAGCAAAGTCCATATCTGGATTTTGATAGAGCAACTGTTAACGATAGCATGGTGTGCATTATTATTCGTTTCGGTTCATATGTTTAGTAACTCAATGTTGATTTATATGAGGGGACAATTGAAAATATTGCAATACAACTTTAGTAATTTTTTCGAAAACATCGTGCAAAAGGATACAAATGATAGCTTTCCAGCATTGCAGTTCCTGTGTGAAAAACATCAAAACTTAATTCGGTAAGTACTCTGGGATCCTGGGAACTGTAATCGTCAATCTGATAGAGTCATGTGGGGCAAGAGTGCGCATTTTTTTTTCTATGGTCATAAAATTGTAATAGTTGTACAAAATAAATTGAAATAAAAGTATTTATTTAAAGGATTTATTGATTTAACAATTACGTAACATGAAATTCAATTTACTTAATTGTAATTAAAGAAATAAAATAAAATAAATGTTAGTCAGAATGCGCACACTTACCCCAATATTGGGGTAAACGTGCGCAGCACTGCGGGTAAGTGTGCGCATTTGTAATAATTTAAACCATAACTTGTTACATATAGTTACACCATATTTAATGTTATAAATATTATTTTTTATCAATACTTATCATTTTTTACTTCATTTTTTATATTTATATATTAAATATATAATTTTTGACAAATACTGTTTAACTTGATTTTTATCGAGAATAAGGTTTAGAGTAGTTAACAGTTTTGAATAGAGATAAATTCAAATGAGATCGTTTTTAACGAATATGATAAAATCTTAATTATTAGAACATATATCACATATGAAAGCACCAGTTTTATAATGAGTGCACTGTTCATGCCACCAGCTATGACATAAGCTACATTTAATCCAATCGTCTGTAGGTGGATCAACGTATTTTTCACCACACAATGGACAGTAATCATCATTTTCCTTAAAATCATTAATATTTTCTTGACTAGCCTTAACTTTAACAGCCTTATCTTTGGTAGTAGTATTCTTCTTTGTTTTTTTTTTAGAATTTTCAATTTTATTTGCACAAGCATTTTCTTGTTTCAATTCTAAACGTCGTTTCTTTTTAGCTATTTTTTCTTCTTCTTCCTGACTTTTTTTTCCAATTCTAATTTGAAAGTGCTATCAGTAGCGACAATAGATTTTTTACCTTTTCTACGTCTTGTTTGTTCTTTCGCTTTCGGAAACGGTTGGATTGATGACAAAGGTGTATATAAATTAGAACATGTATCTGCAGCTTGTTGAGGACCTGATGATGGAGTCACTACAACTAAAGCTAAATCTGTTACAGTGCTCACGTGTGATGAAGTTGGTAGTGGATACAATGTTGAAGACGTACTCGGTTGAAGTTCTGATACAGTTAAAGCATTAGAAGTACTTGGCAAAGACTCTGATGTAGAAAATGCAGTAGATCTAGTAGCTGTGATATTCTGCGAGCTACTTTTCTCAGATGATGTAGATGGAAGGTTTATGTCAGTAACAGAAGCTGCTGCGAAATCTTCCTCCGAAAAAATTTCTCTATCGATAGGCCATATCCCAGAAGTTCTAAAACCTGAAGTAGCATTATTAACAGTTGCGACTTTTTTTAAAGCTTCATTAACTAGTTGAGCCACTTCTGTCTGCCCAATGACCCGTCCTGGGTTACTACTTAACCATTTGTCACACTCGTAAGCAAATTTCGCTTTCAATGGTCCAAAAAATCCACGATCTAGAGGTTGCATTTTGTGGCTACTGTGTGGTGGAAGAGTAAGTAAATGAATACCATTTTCACGACAAAAGTTGACAGCAGCTAAAGAAAGATGACTACTGTGGTTATCTAATATCAATAACATTGGATTCTCTTTAGTGGGTTGAACGTTGTCTTTAAAGTGATGAAGGTATTCTAAGAACAGATTGGTATTTATAAATCCAGAATCAGAAACCATTCCAATACTTCCTGGAGGTGCATTATTTAGTAAATAACCCTTCATTCTTTTACGAGCAAAAATAAAAGCCGGCGGAACATAACTTCCCGTAGCACTCATGGCACAAACTAAAGTAATGGTTTGTCCTCTCTCAGCTGAAACTATTTTTCCTACTAACTTTTTACCTTTGATTGAAATAACTTTTGGAATCTTCTTTGGCACAGTATTATCTAATACCACTTTCATCCATATTATAAATCCTAGTAGGCTTAAACCTATACTTGTCTTGAAGACTCTGCAAGTTGTCGTAAAACTGATTGACCTGGAAACGATTAAACCCCATTGCTCTAGCTATGCTAGTTGACGTGGGTTGTCGTAAATTCAAGTCAGGGTGCCTTTTTAAAAATCCATACACCCAATCACGTCCAGCCATTTTCGACTTTTGATTAAACCGATGAGGAATATGATTTATTTCAGCATACTCGTAGATCAATGTTTTTAGAGTTGTCATATTAAGACCATAATAGAGATCATCACATCTTTTTAAATAATTATATATTTCATTTTCTTGCTCACTTGTGAAAGTTGAAGTAAATCTTCCTAATTTTAGAGCAGTTGAATCAGATTTTAATCGCTTCCTGAGAGTGAGTACTCTCAGGAAGCGAGTTCTTTCATTCCAACCTGTTCAGCTGCTTTTCTTTTACTTAAATCTTCGGCAATCAATCGCTTAGCAGCATCAAATTGATCACGGGTAACAATGGACCTGTGTGGAGCCTTCCGCTTGTAATTTCGAGGTACTCTAGTTTTTTTTTAAGAAATATATAAGTATAACCTGAAACAAATAACAACGAGTGTCAATACACAAAGAACTCACTATCGGGGTAAAAGTACGCTTTAAAATATGCGTACTCTTACCCCACAACCGTATTCGTACACTTAACCCTAATCGCCTTTACAGATTTAGTTTTAAATTACACATTTTTGCGTCATTCTACCAAGTTTTGATGTATAGCTGATAAAATTAGATATATAAACGAGCATAATTGGACATAATTAATACTAATTACCGCTACATAAATATAAAAGTATTTGAATTCTAAATTGGAAAAAATCGTAAGAATAATAACCAAAATTTTTACTTACCAATATTACTAAAACTACTTAACTTTGCCAGACAAGACTCTAGTCTTTTGTCCAACGTCGTAGTGACTACTGAAGGCAGTTGATTCCCCTACTCTAATGTCAACGGTTTTATAAATAATAAGCCTGCGCACACTTACCCGCTGCGCACACTTGCCCCACATGACTCTATATAACTTTAACTATTAAACAGTACTAGAATTTACAAATTTTTCGACAGTATGCAGTGAATAAATTCACTTTTAGTTTATTGATAATGTTAGTAATTTATTTTTTATTGGACCGTTTTGTGAAAAATGTATAAATGAAAGTAGTTTACTTGAGTAGCTTAGCTAAAAAGAAATATCCAAAATAGTGTTATGTATTGTTATTACTGTCAAAATCTGCAATTTGAGAAAATTGAGCAAATCCTGAAATAAACTGCTGCTCAGTTTTCAAAAATCTTGCCAACTTAATAATCTTTCACACCTTTCATTTGATATCTTAAATCAAATGTTACACAATTATTGCCCTTCTTTCGTGATATAATGGTTCTCGTATACCGTCAGATCAATAAATTCAATTTAAATTAAAAGATAAGCGTAATCAAATCAATTTTGAAACATATCTGGTGTTTGGTGTCATTCAAGAGCCATATGGATAGGAATGCGAGATTGTTTTACCAGAAAAATTATATTTCATATAAAGAAAGATAAGTCAGATGTTTCAAATTTTAAAAATTAAGTCACCATATTTCTAAAATTAACTTATCAGGTCCCAGACACTAGTGTGTCGAATACATTTACTAATATGTGAGGTCTGGTTTCGTGATCTCACTGTTCGAATGTGTTATAAATGTTTTGTAAATGTTTAGTATAAGTCGTTTTTATTCATTTTACGAAGGCTTAAGAGCTATGGGCAGATTGATCTAATTTGTCAAAAACATATTTACAAAATAAAATTTTCCATTTAAGTCAATGCCAGCTAAGGTGGTCTTCAGAAATGGCAAGGATGAATTGTACACTACAAAATCAAAATAAATAAGAAGTAAAAGTTCAGATTTTCACGAAATTTTATATTTTGATATGATAATTGTTTCGACAACACCGTGTCTTTATCAAATGTTATCAAAATCACAATCAATCGAAATATTTTTAAGTTTAAAAATCGTCTCTTTTTTAGGTACATTAATACCGCAAATTGTGCTTTCAAAGGCGTACTGTTCTTTGAATATGGCATTTCTTCCATAGTATTAGCTACATCAATTATTCAAATATCTGCGGTAATTTCAGAACAAAAATATGTGGATTGTTATAAACAATTTCGATTTGTAGGGTGGCAACATCACCTACAAATTAACTCATTTGTTTGGAGTAACCAGTCAACTATTGCTATTGGCTTGGTACGCGGACGAAATTGTATTTCAGGTTAGTTTTCACGTTTCTCACATCATTTGTTTACATTGAATCGATATTTTCACAGAGTCTCGAGTTGGCACCAGCACTTTACGAAAGTAAATGGTACGAATGCAGAAAGGAATCGAGAGTGCTGATTAGCATGATGCTGATGAGATGTCAGAAGCCTTTGAGTATCGATATAGGTTCATTCGGAGCTATGACAGTTCAGTCAGCAATGACTGTAAGTAATATTATTGGATTGTTCTGAAAGGCTTCAGACTATTTCTGATGGTTGGCTTTTGTTGTATAATACACTCTTTACTTATCTTATATAATACCTTATTTAAAAAATAATTTTTTGGGCCACTTAGTTTTAAAAGTGGTTTCTTGCACACTTTATAAGTTGACCATTTTAATTGTCTAAATTTTCTTATATTTATCTTTCATTTTAAATTAAATAGCTTTATGGTTGATGATTTCATTTCATTGGTTGATTTGTCAAATTATATTTCTTAATAAGTTGAATAAGTTTTATCTCAATTACAAAGCAAAATATATGGTGCATACTAGGGTCACGAATGCTCCTCGATCAAATTATATCTACTACTATTACTATACTGAATAATTGGTGGGTTTAATAAAGTTTTCAAAATCGTTTATACAGCATTTCGCATTTAAGATGAAGACATCTCTAGATTTTGGCAATCTAAATAAGGTTGATGGTTCACATTTTTTTAAGATACTCACCTAAAATTCAAATTTTAAACGCGCCACAGGGCGAATCCACAGCGTCAATTTTCGATATTTTGCTTCGCGTTGGAGATACCAGAAAGAGTTTGTTAAAAAAATTATTCCGAATATTATTCTAATCTCACATACCAAATTTAAATTATTTTGGTCAATATTTACTCAAAATTATTTTTTTATTCGATAAGCTCTATTGCCATGGAAAGTACTAGTATGAAACTTGTGAAATCATTAATGTCAATCAGATTAAATTTTCAGTTCATTACATTGAGTTCTATTTAGTGATTATCGAATGGTCAAGCAATGCGAATAAACCCGCATCCGAGCAAATTTACAAGTGAGCCTTCAGGATTTATCATTCCAGCTAAATATTAGTAAGGATAAAATCAGAAGTTGTTTGATCCGTCACAAAATCAAGTCCAAAGTGCTTACATATATTAAAAGAATTTTAGCAGAATAAAAGATAAGGTTATTGTTATTGGATTCAAGGTAATTTTTAAAATGACAGGCATTTTCTGAGGAAGACAATGTTTACTGATGAGGCCACACCCCCAATGAGGTTGTATTGTCCCAAAATTGTAGATACTAGGGCAGAGATAATCCCCACTGGGTTATAAATTTTAAAAATAATAGGTTGTTTTTTCATTAATGAGTCCGGAAATGCTGGTTGTTCCGGAATTATGGGATGCTATGGAAAATCTGCCTCTGAATGGTCGACAGGATATGTATTTCTATGCTAGATGGGGCATCTATTCATAATTCAAGAATGTGTATGCGCTTGGTAGGAAGAAACAGTTCTCTTGAACCCTTGCCTCCGAGGTCCCCTGACATTGCACCACTCGATTTATATAACAAGACACCGAAATCGAGATAAACTTCGCGCCAAAATGAGACAAACTTCTCAAGAAATTAGCATTCTAGAATTTGACGTTTATCCAGATAGAATAATATGATAAAAATAATTCTCTTTTAAAAACTAAAACATAATAAATAAATCTTCCGAAGGATTTTTTCCAAACTATTTTAAACAATCCTAAATTAAACTGGTTGTTAAAAAAGGATATCCTTGTCTGACAGGTAATTATCCAGCGATTTCAGTCATAAATCCTATTTTAAAGATTTTCGGATGAGCCTTTCACAATCTTCTTTACGAAACTCTACTTAAAGACTGTCGTCTGGTATTGTCCACACTAACTGCTACCACTCAGCTTGTACAGTTTATCTGTGATGGGCTTGATCAGTCTGAGATTGTAGTGGGAATCTTGATTTATCCTGAATCCTGAGTTTTTGAAACAAAAACTATATAGGATGGATTTCAGAAGTAGCAACAATGACAGAGTTTTTTCCTAGAATAACCATCGTGAATTTAAGGTAAAGGTTGCCAGTGAGTTGTCGAATACATTTAGTCTAAAGTTAGATACTCCTCAAGGAGGAATTCTTGGTCCTCTCATCTTTATGTCATATACAAATGGCTTAACAAAGATAATAAAAAGCCGTAACCTTTATTTATACTGCGATGACATTATAACTGTGATATCAGGAAATGAATTATCTTATGAACCAGCGGTGCGCGAAGACATTTAACAAATTGTCATTTCTACTATCAAAACTACTGTTTTAAATATTTTTTTTTAATTTCTTAATCAGTTACCCACTAAAAATTATTGTTTTCTTAAAATAAAATAATGATTTCTTGGTGTCAGTGCAATTAATTTAAATTGCGTGAATTAGATTATTAAATTGACGCTGACCCTATTACGGAGATTTTTATACAATATTAAAAAATTTTTATTTATTTAGAGAGCCATAACATTCATCTGAAATCGGACTCAAAATAGTTGTTTCTTTTATTTAAGAAAAATTAAAGCAAATATCATTTACAAATCTTCTGAACTCGGAGGAATCCAGAAGATTTGTAAACAGTATCACAGTGATCTGGGGAAGTTTTTTTGAGAAAAATTATTGTAATTATTATTTAAATTTAAATTTAACTTGTATTATCTGTAGCTCCAGTAAAATACGGGTTATTAAGTTTGACTTTACTTTTAATTTAAATAAATAAAAAAATTAAAATATTAGGTTCCAAGAATCTGACTTAAAAATAAAAATTATTAGTAATAGTTTTATATGCTATAATTTCCCCTTTTGCAAATTCTGTAATGCAATGTAACACTTTTTATGTGTTTGAATGGATTAAAAAAATTTTTTCAGAGATTGAAGTTGGCTTATTCGTATACATCAGTTATGACGAAGTGAATATTAAAAGAAGATTGGTCAATATAGATATAACGATAATATTTTGAATAAAACCACGGTTAATACGATAAGGGTGTTTTATTATTTATCAATAGAAAAACAGTTGGAATAAATTTTAGGAAATATTTAAGGGGTCGGTTTTAAGACATGAACTTGTCCCTGTTTTTATGGTCAAGTGATGGGCATGAAGGATGCTTGATCATATATTCATCATTACGTAAATTCAGAACTTCTAAAGCATATAAGTATTAGTAGTATAGTAGTATTGTACATAACTGTAACTTTCTTTCGTAATTTGCTACTACTTGGTACATTCAGTTCACATTGCTATTGCATGCAAAGTATACTAAATAGCCTACCGTGTTAGGAATATCAACATATTCTGTTAATATAAATATTCTACACGCGGAAATGATGAGGACTACAGTTTCACTCTTTTCTTTGCAGGTAATAGACTTGTTATCCCCTCTGGTCTTTGTTGTTCCCTGTTCCACATATTTGGTTCTTAGATCTCGCTTTTGCGCAGCGGTTGGCAGTGATCCTGATTCAGTTTTCGTAGCACCTATTCTTAGTCAAATATTTGATGGTGGTGTCATATTTCTACCTCAGCTTAATATTTCTGTGCTAGTTTTACCTCGAGCTCCTCTGTGGTTGAGCAATCCATGAGGCGCGTCCCCGGGTGGCCGATAGGGGAGCCTAGGCTCTCATGGGCCTGGGTGGCTGAGAATAAGGAGGTACGAGGAGGTAAAAATCCAATAGGGCTAACAAATAACCAGTCGTGGACCAACTCACCCTGCCCAGCTGTCGTGTCGCTTGCACACTGTATAACGGTGCCAACTGGCTTATTATTATTATTATTATTAGATACCCACACTATAAAATAGTAGAAGTTATTATTTCACATTATGGTGACACTTCAAGTGAAACGGGACAAAACTCTTAAAAAATCAGCACTAAAAAAAATAAATAACGTGAGAAGTAGTTACATTAAAATATTTAGGGGTGAACAACTTCGGAAAATTATAGGTCGGGGTAAGGATAAAATGTTTTCAGCGTTTTCCAGCGTACAATTTCTTAGCTCTGTAATTACGTGTAAGTTTTCAGCGCAGTGTGAATATGAACTGCCACCTCTAGGACAGCATTCCTTTAAAACGTCGCACAGAAAAGAGTCTGCTATTCTCAGAACGATGTCGCACTCAGAGCTGTTTCGCTTTGCTAGAATCGCGATGACTTTGGCAGGCATCTGGAAACTAGAACTAGCTGACCCGTTCAAAGGTTTTACACGAATCTATCCAATTTATTCAATAATGATTCACGTGATATATGTCTCATTTCCTCTGTTGTTGGTAGTGAATCTACCATACCTTCTTAAAAACGATCCAAGCGAAGGTAAGCAGCACTCCAAATGAATTGATGATACTTACTCACAATTTTCAGCGAACGAGTCATTATCAAAAAGTCTCTATGGCATCTTATTGATAGCGAAATTGTTGTCGTATCAATCCGAAAGCTCGAAGTCTCTGCTCGTGCAGGCTATTAGAGAAGAGACCACTTTGAATCAATACGGAGACGACTTTGTCAAAATGATTTACGAGAAACACATGACGCGTTGTAACCGGCTCAACAAATTTATTTTCATTTCCGCTGCAGTTGTTGTTCTTTTGTTATGCGAAGTTGGTGAGTTGGCGCTTGTCTATTGTTCATTCGAGACCGTCTGGAATTGCAGGAATAGCTGAGAGTTACAAATTTCATAGACTTCGCAAAAATGAAAACCAGACTTTAGCAAAACCTCTGCCGCTTAGTTGCTGGTATCCTTTCGATGAAAACAAATACCACATTTGGATTCTCATCGAGCAACTGCTGACAATATTTTGCGCTGGATTATCGTTCGTTTCGGTGCATATTTTCTGTAACTCCGTGTTGATTTATATGAGAGGACGGTTACAAATATTACAATACAACTTTAGCAGTTTTTTCACACATTTAGTCCAAGGGGATGCAAACGAAAGCCTCACAGCGTTGAAGCTTTTATGTGAAAATCATCAAAATTTGATTGCGTAAGTAATTTGGTAAGAAGAGGGTTTGATGTCTCTGAGTCCAATTTCGTTTAATAAGAGTTGCAAAACATCAGATAGGTTAAAGAGTTGATATGAAGACAGTCTTACTAGGCTATAACCGCGTATTAATTATTATACTTAACTAAAGAAATGTAAGGCGTAAACAATGTTTCTTCAACTTGCAAATAAGTAGATGAGATACCTTTAACAATGCAGTTTTTCAAATTTAATATGGTGTTGAACTGAGTTGGCTTTTACTTGATGAAAATCCATTTATCAAAATAAATAAGAACGAAAAGTTCAGATTTTCACGAAATTATATATTATGACATGACAATTGTTTCGACAACACCGTGTCTTTATCAAAAAGACATAAAGACACGGTGTTGTCGAAACAATTGTCATGTCAAAATATATAATTTCGTGAAAATCTGAACTTTTACTTCTTATTTATTTTGTTAATATGGTGTGCTTATTTGTTATGCCTATTAGTAATTTAATTGAATGACACACACAAATACCATAACGCTTTAGGTACATAAATACGGTAAATCGTGCTTTCAAAGGCGTGGTGTTCTTCGAATATGGCATCTCTTCCGTAATATTAGCGACGTCGATTCTGCAAGTTACTGCGGTAATTTCAGAATCAACAAACTTTGAACTTATTACAATTGGTAATTGTAGGGCGGCAATATCACCTATAAGTTAACCCGTTTGTTAGGAGTAACCAGTCAGCTATTGCTATTAGCTTGGTCGTCCGACGAAATTGTAGTCCAGGTCAGTTTACACGTTTTCCACATGACTTGTTTTCAACTAGCCGATATTTCTCCAGAGTCTCGAGTTGGCACCGGCACTTTACCAAAGTAAGTGGTACGAATGCAGCAAGGAATCTAGAGTCCTAATTAATATAATGCTGATGAGATGTCAGAAGCCTTTGACTATAGATATAGGTTTGTTTGGACCTATGACAGTTCAGTCGGCAATGACTGTAAGTAACTGTGATATAATGGGTTGCTTATGCTTTGTTTAGTATATACTATTTAGCAAAAGCTCGACTTTCAAAAAACTCATTCATAATCCGAGGCCTACATAAAATAGTGTCGTTAATTCGTTGTCCGCCCTCATTAAAGGCTGGTTCCTGAGGCACTAGGTCAATATTGTGTGACGTAGGAAATACACACACACCAGTAGTTGAGATAAATTTGAATCAAACAGTGGATCATATTTTCAAACAAATTTATTGAAAATACGATAGTATTGGAATAATAAATATAACAATCATTATACATGAATATCATTATAGCGACGAGCAGATACTTTTGATAGTTATTCTAAGATCAATACATCAACCACATCATGTTCCAAGTACTCGGATGAAAAAATTTGTATTGGTCTGAGGTTAACTATAACTGAACCTTGTTAGAAACACGATAATGACATCATTTCCAATAAATAATATCATTCATTCGGGTGTTACGTCAAGTAAAATGGACCCCTTTTTGTCTAAAGGCTGTATACAAGTCATTTACCATTACATATTGCACAGAAGGATAACTTAGGTCCTATAAGTATCAATCTCCCAATAAAGACATCGAGAGTATTGATGATATGAAAAACAATATAATTATCAAATTTGGCAAAGCACCCTGTATAGAAATTAATCAGAGTCTCTTTCGTTACGCATTATAGAGCTCTTGTTTAAATGCCTCTGATTTACTATGATCTGATAGTGATAGCAAAGCTGGGTTTCTTAAAATTACGTTGAAAAGAAATCAAGGTATTCCGAATTATGGCGACTATTCTGCAATATCCACCGCTCCTCTACTAAGTATTATTAGGTATTTGCACGAATTGAATTGTAATCATTTACTTTTTTTTAATTTTAGAGGTTAAAGCTGGCCTACTCGTATACATCAGTCATGACGAAGTGAATATGTAAATCAATATTAATAAATGTATGAATATTTTGAATATTTTTTGTAAGACTGCCATTAAGTAATGCGCCAAAATTGTTTTCTTTATATAAGTAATCGACATAATAGATATGTCTTCTAACCCAATGTATTAAATTTTTGACTCGACTTTCACAGCTTTTTAAATTAAATTTTCCACAGTAATTTTTTTAATTTAATAACAAATGAAAACGAAATTAACAAATACAATGAACCAACAAATCCATCAACTTTAAAATAGTACGCAACCGAAATAATATAAATAATATATAATTAGCGCCGAGAAAATATGTTTGGCCCTTTTGTTTCTATACTTCTTTAACTCTGTAATTACGATAAAGTTTTCCGCGCAGAATGGGCGTTTGACAACAGATACTTAGAAATCAGTAGGGTGCGTTGGATTTTTTTTGTGGTAGGTGAGATCAAATTCTCATTTGGTTGATTCCTAAAATTTTGTGAGGTAAATAAATTAATGTATGCCAAATATTTATTCTGAGAAATAACGATATTTCGGTAAGTGGAATAGTAGTATTTAAATGGTGTAGTAGTGTAGTAGGTGTTAGTAGTTTCTTCCCTGTGGTTAGATCCAACAATTCGCTTCCAGGATGCTAAAAATTCACCCTTCGGGTCCTTTTAATGTTTGGTACCCTAGTGAAGCTTTTGAGCGGATACTAGGATCGAGATATTTCATTCGAAGTATATTCCATTGTCCTTCCTAATGAGAAGACGACTGTGTTAGTGACATTGAACTCTTTTAATAGGAAAATTCTAAAACTACATTACAAGTTTAAGTAACTACACATTACATTACAAATTTTCATACAGGATACCAATTTTCAATTAGATGTAGATGTTGATATATATATATATATATATATATATATATATATATATATATATATATATATATATATATATATATATATATATATATATATATATATATATATATATATTCTCACGTATTGATTCACGGATGGAAAAATGTGATGACACTATATTCCGGGATATCATCCGTTCGCTTGTTGAACTCCGACTGGAATCCTGCAGACGTTCCGCCAAAATCTCACTTGGCATCTTCAATGCTCGCGCTCCGAAAACACTTCGAACACTATATATATATATATATATATATATATATATATATATATATATATATATATATATATATATATATATATATATATATATATATATATATATATATATATATATATATATATATATATATATATATATATATATATATATATATATATATATATATATATATATATAGTTTATATTTTGTTTTCTCTTAGACCTTCTCTAGATTTATGTTTAGCTTTTGGTTCTTGGGTTATAGGTCTTTATATTAAAAGCGATTAAAATTTTTTGTCCATATATTGACGTTTCGGTCTTCTATGACCTTCTTCAGAAAGGGATACAGTCAAAAAGAGACAAACACAAATCTTAAAATTGAAGAGGTAGCATCATATGGAAGTTCTATACTTTAAAAGCGTTTGTTTTTGGCATAGTGCCCTTGATAAAAGATAAAAGTCCAACAAAAAATGATTTGTATACGGCACTCACACATATAATACACACAAAGTTAACGAAACAGGTAAAATATATATAAGGGTTTAGAAAAAATAATACCGATACGCGAGGTTTGCTCGCGTTGACGTTACTCTAACGTTGAGTAAATGACAGATACAAAAAATTATTATATTTAGCTATAACATGCCTTATATAATTTATGATTTAATGTAATAAAATTCCATAATAAAAATCTAAAAGGAATTGTTTCCTCCATAGGTACTTTTAGATACGTACTAAATTTTTTACTCACGCGCTGTTGAAACGGGTTTAGCTATAGAATATATCATGTTTACTAATACGTTATGCATGTGTGAAAATTTTTAATTTCCTTTTTTACCAGCCGTTATCAACAGATCAATCGAAAACCAATTGCTCGTTCTCGTAGCTATATTTGAAACCAGAATAAGAAATTCATACAATATTACCAGCATAAAAACAGATCAGCCTATCAAAAATGAATTTTCACATAAAGTTAGGCCATAAGGGAACTAATTTTTTTATAATATTTCCATCAAAATAGGGACAAAAATAAAACGTAGAAGTCAGTTCTGTAACTGATTAGAATTCACAATTTCATGTCACAGGAGTGTGGCAGAAATATCGCGTAAGTAAAAACTATAAACACCGCCCATCTCTATATTTGCCACGAACCATGCCTTTAAATACTGCTGCAATGGAAACATTTCCAAGTGCTCAAAATGACCCCCGACACAGAGTTGTTCCGCTTTACCAGAATCGCAATGATCCTGACGGGCATCTGGAAACTAGGGACGCCTCAGCAGTCTAAGGCCTTTCCAGTTTTATATCAGGCCTATTCGGTACTGGCACACGTGATATACGTCTCCATTCCTTTGTTTTTAACCGTGAACTTCCCGCGACTTTTGAAAACCGACGCAGGCAAAGGTATGGTATGGTCCATCTCAAAGTTTATCCTCTTATGAAATCGTCTTATAACGTATTATATTGTATTTTCCAGCTCTCAACGGGTATGTTAATAATTAGACTTTAAGGTAGGACTAACATTTAATTTTACTTGCCGTCACAAGTGATCTATGCTTTTAAAACATAATTCTGTAATCCCTTTTCAAGAAGTCTTTAATATTTTTCGTAGACAACAAGCTGGAATAAATTCCTCTTCTAATTCTTTATTTCAAGCTACTTTTGTTTGACAGTTTTTACTGCCATCAACCCATCCTTTGGATACTGCGTCGCGTGTATCGAACTAAGTTTTATCTAGGCAAATTGTACATCTCTTTTCGGAAATATACTATTTGATTTGCCGAAGCCGAAGCGCAATCTGAGTGCTTCCATTGCCACTTGTTTTTTGTCTATTTTTCGGAATTTAAATCCCATTTTACAAATAACTTTATGGAGGGTGGCACAGTTAATAACTATAACTATATTGGCTTCCTCTCCTTCTCTTCCTTTTCTGTTTATCCAAAATAGGAACAATCTGGATTTGATGAATGGAATGTATTTTTCTTCTTATCGTATCTTATTCAACACTGCCACTGCCACTGCCACTCTTATGTCCCTATGAATAAATAACTAATTGTTTAGTATAACCATAATTAATTTTGGTTGAGGGGTCCTTTAAATACTAAGATGATATACTTTGAGACACACCGTACGACTCGAACCGAACGATTATCTCAGACGAGAAAAATATTCAGGCTTCGAGACTCTTTCGAAAATACTTTACTGCGTATCGATGGTGATTAAATTATTCGCGTACCAATCTCGGTCTTCGATAAGTTTACTCGCGCAGGCTATTAGAGACGAGGTGGATTTACTCCAGAACGGCGACGACTATGTTATGAAAACGAGAAACACGTATCTTTTTGCAACTTGCTCAAGAAATTCTTCTGGTTGAGCACCGCAGGCGCAGCGTCTTTGCTCTGCGAAATTGGTATTCAGTGGTCCCTAAAATTCACGTTCTGAGGTAGTTTTGACTGTCGTTGCAGGACTAGTGGGTAGTTACAGAGTTGATCGAATGAATAAAAAGTTCAACGAGACGTTGAATAAGCCCCTGCCGCTGCCGTTCTGGTATCCCTTTGACGAAAATAAGTATCACCGCTAGGTTCTGTTGGCGCAGTTCCTTGTAATATTATGAGTTGGATTTCCCGTGGCGACGGTGCAAATGTTCAGCAATTCGGTGATGATTTATATGAGAGGACAGTGGAAAATATTACAGAACTACTTTAGTAACTATAACGAGAATATTACCTACGTTGGCGATAGTCTGAAAACACTGAAGGGGCTCTGCGTTAAGCATCAACATTTAATTAGGTAGTATTAAGTAAATCTATCGCGTTTCAAACAATTTTCTGTAAATCTTTCGATTTATAGGTATATAAACACCGTGAATAGTGTCTTTAGGAGTATAGTTTTGTTGATTATACCATCTCGTTAATAATGCTAACCACGGCACTTTCTCAAGTGCTTGCGGTACATTCTTCCGGCTACCAATCTACCAAATCGTATAAATTTTATATTTTTAGTGTTACAATGTAACCTACAACATAACCCATGTATTTGTAATAATCAGTCAACTCTTACTTCTAACATGGTCAACTGATGAAATTGTGGTTCAGGTTCGTTTCCGTTGTAAATCGATTGTGTCTAGTGATATTCCATTATAATTTATAAGTGCTAAGTGCTTTGGACAGAATCTCAAATCCCCAAATAAGTCCTATCTCTTTCTCCGCCATCTATGTCATAGGATTAAACTAGATTATTTTTTATGTAATATTTACTATTCTGAGCTTGCTTACATTACTTGGGTTTTTGGGTAGTTAACATCTAATCCCTCTACTTCTTGTTATAGCAAGATCTCTAAAAGTTTGTCTTGGGTGTTAGTTAACAGCTTAGAACCGCGATTCCACCTTTTTTCCCTTCTACTAATTAATGAATTGATAATAATAATTTTAATGTATTTAATTTTTAACTGCCACTCTTAGATACATATATACAATTTTCTGTAAAATAATAAAAACATTTATTGCTTCTGTTAATTTTTTAATGATTTAATTTTAGTTAATATAATTAGTTAGATTCTAAATCATCAACAAGTGTGGTAAACGGCATTTGATTCACGAGTGATTTAAAAACAATTTTTGACGCCCTTTTGTAAAATACTCAATCTAGCGAGCGGAAAGTGTCATTTTACCACTTCATTTTCGTTTTTCATGAATCCAAGCGACACAGGATATTTCCGAGATATTACCGCATGGGTGTACAACAGGTTTGGTATACTTTTTAAGTCACTCGTTTATTACTTACTCGCTTTGCTGTGCTCCGCTGGTGTCAAATGGAACTCCAATGCTCCCAAACTCCCGTGGTAATATCCCGGAAATGTCCGAAGTGGTTCGCAGCCGTAGGAAAGGAAACTGACGTGGTAAAATACTAGAGTAGAAAAATAGTCTGATTGGATTGTTTCCTTCCATTATGACATTTGGGAAATGTACGTACGTCGATAATAGGATTATAAACAACCTGGACCAAAAATTAAAAAATGTGTGTACTTGATGACAAATGTGTTTGACAGCTGTAAGCGATACTACACACTAAAATTTTGACCATTTTGGTTAGTTCGTTAGTTCTCCTTAATTCTAACACATTTAAAACACTTCACATCAGTTTTATTTACTAGACTATAGAAGTAATTTTAACAATATACAACCGAGATGTTAGTATTTTTCGTATATTGCTTAACGTGTATACGTACAAGTAAACTGCGCTTAGAATTCCTAGAAATTCAGGTAAATTACAAGCATCCTCGTGTGATGGTCCCGATAAAATATTCAACGTTTTTCGTCCCTTGGATATTGCGGTTTTGGAAAATTATAGGCTGGAGTGTCGGGACAACATTTCCAGCAGTTTCCGTTGTAAATATGTTCCGCCTAATAATTACGCCGGAGTTTTCCGCGTGTAGGTAAGTTTCAAATATTTATATCTGAAAATCAGCGGCGTATCTTCCTGACATGGTGAAAAGTCGAGCTTTTTTGCTAATTACACATAAAATTATTTTGTGTTTATTATCTGTATATAATTAGAACAAACTTCTAAAAGAAGGGAGGTACGGCCATCCATAAAGATTACTCGGTATTATTCAAATGGACATTATTCTCTTAGCTACGCTATAGCCATGTGGGGTATTGTGCGGGCTTTAATTATCATGTGATTTGCCTCTCCTTGATACCTAATGATTCGCATTTAAAGAAAACAGGCAAAAATAAGGCACCCAGAGGAAGTCCTGGTTGCTTTGCAGTCGTGACGGTCAAGTTAGATTTGATTTTGGATATTTAAGGTTTAAAACTAACTGGAGAGCAACGGTTTTATCATGGTTGGCAGCAATGAAATATCCAGTAATTGTCTTAAATCATTATGGATGAGAACGCCAACTGCTTTATCATTCATAATTTTTTATGATAGATGATGCTCGGAATAATGTCAAAAAATAAACATTCTATTAGCTGGAGAAGTGCCTGAACTTGCATTTTAAAGGACTTGGAAGTAACACAACAATAGATAATTAAGGTTATACATAAGAAGTTTGAGACCTATTTTATAAGGAATGTGATAATTGTTAATTAATTATTTAATTCATTATATGCTTATTAATTGAAAGAGATAAGTGAAATTGATAGTCTAATCCGCAGTTATGACACAATTTAAAAAGAAATCTATTTTAATGTAGCTCGGAGTCAAAAGATTGTGAAGACTTAAAAACGATTTATAATAAATTATGATTTTAATGATAATAAATAATAATAATTCATTAAAAATAAATTTAAAACATCTCTGCTAGAAACAACAAATCAATGGAATGGACTACTACAGTATTATTTTTTTTATTGCCTTGCTAAAGTGTAGTCTTATAGGTGAACAAACTTTATTATCATTAACTGGCAGTTTTTAATGGCTTTAACGGCAAAAATGTTTGGTGCGCTCGTGTCTTTCGTCAAGAAATATGCATTTAAAATGTCGCGACAATGGAAATGCTAACAACTGCTTAGAATGACGACGTCCAGCACGGAGTTATTTCGTTTTGCTAGAATGGCAATGATTCTAGCGGGAATCTGGAAGCTAGAAATGCCCCATCGGTCGAGAGGTTTTCAACTTGTTTATCTGATTTATTCGATAGTGGCCAATATGATATACATCTCCATTCCTCTCTTGCTAACTATAAACTTTCCACGACTTTTGAAAACGGACGCAGGCGAAGGTATGGCGATACTACAAAAAAACCAAATCAACCTGCGAAAAAACATTTCAGGTCTCGAGACGCTACCGAAAATTCTCTTTTGTTTTTCGTTTGTGATTAAACTAATTTTGTATCAATCAGAATCGACAAAAAGATTGCTCGCGCAGGCGATTACAGACGAAGCTCATTTTCTCGATAACGGTGATTATTCGGTAGTGGAAGTTCACGAAAAACACGTATTTTTTTGCAACTTGCTGAACAAATTCTTCTTGATGTCCACCGCAGGCTCTGGTTTCATCTTATGCGAAATGGGTAAGGTGTAGTTCCAGATATTGTTGCACTATACGAACTCGATTTTCTCTATCTTTTCAGGAATTGTGGGCAGTTACAAAGTCAACCAATTAAATAAGAAGCTTAATGTGACCTTGCCTCGGCCCTTACCGTTGCCATTCTGCTATCCATTCGATGAAAACAACTATCACATCTGGATTCTGTTAGAGCAGTTACTTGTAATAGTATGGTGTGGATTTTCTATTGCAACAGTGCAAATATTCAGCAACTCAATGATGATTTACATGAGAGGGCAGTTGAAGATATTACAGAAATACTTTAGCCGTTATCATAGATCAGCTACCAGCGTCGACGGTAGTGTTAAAGCACTCAAATTGCTATGCGTTAAACATCAACATTTGATTAGGTAAAAAAAATGCTACTGTAACGAGACAGAATGTTTTAAAATTTTCGGTAATTTGCTCGACTTATAGCTTTATAGACAATGTCAATGGTGTCTTTAGAAACGTTGTCTTTATCCAGTATAGCATCTCATCGATAATGTTAGCCATGGCCCTTTTTCAAGTGCTCGCGGTAACCTCTCTCAGAGGAAAACATCTCTAAAAATCACAATAACTTGAGTTTTTTAGGGCAACAATGTAACCTACAACATTACTTATGTATTGGTAATAATAAGTGAACTTTTACTCTTAGCTTGGTCGACGGATGAAATTGTAACTCAGGTCCGTTTTTCATTGTTATATTTTTTTTGCTGATTTGTCGTTTTAGAGTGACGAATTAGCATCGGCCCTTTATAGTTGCACATGGTACGAATGCGATAGGGAATCCAGGATTCTTATTATTTTGATGCTGATAAGATGTCAGAAACCTTTAAGTATTGATATCGGTTCGTATAAGTAAGTATAAGTTTATAAATTTAATAAGTTGAAACGAACTAGTATCGAATAGCAGTATATAGTTGTAAATTGCTTACAGCTAGCGTTTCGTTATAATTCACAATTTGGAAATATCAACTGCTTTGATAATCTTCCGTATTTTGTGATGTCTGAAATGAGATTTTGGATTATATTCAAAACGAGATAATATATTTTTTTAAGGAAAATAAAAAAAATAAGGAAAAATTTTATAACACATTCAGGTTTTATAAAACATTCAATCGAAAAAACAAAAACAATAATACTAAACCAATATTTGGGCAAATTTGACGACACATTAACACAATAATGCGCTCCATCAGCTAAAATCTTACTGATGCTGAAATATGATATTGAGAACCCATATTTCGCAAAATCGTTAATTATTTTAGTATTATTATACACTTAAAATAATAAAAAAATAAGGAAAGCAAGTCTATAGATATATAAGTAGAACCAATGCCAGGCAATTTGGAAGACACTTGGTAGAATACAAAATTAATAGCCAAAAGCTCTGCCAAATTGAAACTTTTTAATTTATTTATAAATTCAACGATTTCAAGTGAATACGGTTAGTTTTTCAAGGCCTAGAAGTTTTAACAAAATATGAAGTGGGTTGAACTCTGTACTTAATTAATTAAGGCGCGCCAGTAGAAATCCAAATTAATGTTATATATTTACGATTGTTATAGTAGATCGGCAGCAGTTTTCACATAAAAATTCAGATAGGCAAATTTTTAGCTTAATCGTGGTGAAAAACATAACTTGTGGACTATATATTTAAAGGCTTATTTCGGAAACTGTTCTAGAATAAAATGTTCAACCAAGAAAGAAGAAAATTATTGTTGCTTTTCATCGATAGTGATGTCTTTGTTTAACATATTTTTATTGCCAAACGGTTCTTATTTCTAATAACCACAATTTTTTCTTGCCAGGGTTGGTATAGGTCAGTAATTAGAATATTTGTTATATGTGCAAATAGTGCAAAAAGTTTGCAGCTCGAGACTAAGTCGAGCAGTGAGTTGCAACAAGTATATTTATTACACCCAACATTACTATAGTAACTAAGTAACTATTGCAATTCAATTTTTCTTTTGCAGGATAGTATTATTTTAAAATTGATCACAGCTAAAAAAACTATTATATTTTGTTATGACTTATGATGAGTAACTATGACTAATACCGATTTAAATTTTAGCGTTTGAAGATGACCTACTCGTATATCTCCGTCATGACTTCGTGATGGAGTCCTTGTGATAACTATTTTAATTTTATTTAAATAAAAAGGATTTCTTGAAACTGCTGTTTCATTCACCACAAAGTATTTTACAAAGAAAAAATTCAAAACCAAAAAATTATGAATCCTTTCAGTTTTCAAAAGGGTAAACCATTTCCAGAATATGGATAGACAAAAAGCATAATAACTAGTTCAAAAAAGATATTGCATTATTAACTAGGAATTGTTATAAGCTTCTTAAAATACTTGACATTTTAAATTAGCTGGATATACATCAAATTGTTTATACATCATTGACATCAGAATATTTTTTCTGTTACCATGAAATATCAACTGCAATAGCACGGGATAGTAACGTATCCTAAAAGTTTTGCGGATATCTTTATAAAGATTTTAAGTTCGTTAAGAATATTTTCAGTCAAGTACTGCTGAGCTAGAACTTTATATATATATATATATATATATATATATATATATATATATATATATATATATATATATATATATATATATATATATATATATATATATATATATATATATATATATATATGATGACATTATATTCCGGGATATCATCCGTTCGCTTGTTGAACTCCGACTGGAATCCTGCAGACGTTTCGTCAAAATCTCACTTGGCACCAACTCTAATTGATATCCGGGCGATTTTCATGAAGCAATTGTTCCAAATTTTTGAAATCGTGTTGAGGTTACGTAAAGCCATTTTTAATGTAGTGAAATTTTATATTTCATTGTAATTTAGCAGCGTCTCTATCCATTTTATTAACTAGAATGTGTAATAATATATAAAGAACAAAAATTTTACACGTGCAAATTAGAAAATACAGTTCTCACTTACTTGGGCTTCTTCGCTGTTGAAATGATGTTAGTTTATGCCTTTTATTACTGCGCTTAGTTGGTTACCACATATTCTTAAAACAATATTCTTATAACAATTATCGATAAAAATCTGATAAATTAAAAAATGGCTACCGATGGCAAGGCTATAAATAACCCTTTACCAAAAAAGAAAAACATCTGTTGATAACTTTACTATAACAACAACCATGGAGCGGCATTACACGACACTGAAATTTTGACAAGATGGTACTATCCACTCTGATTTTGTAGTTTTATGCCCCAGGTATTGCAGATACATGCTGTTTATTCTGGTATGGAACCTTGTACGTGGATCAATTTCTTGTAACACGGATAGGTTGGTTCGATGCTCTGTCTACGATTCTCGTAAGAGTCCTTTATAAACCCACATTTCGGTTTTTATCTGTTTTATTTAAAGTCCACTTCGCTGCGTATGTTGCGACGGGGAAGATTAGAGAATCAACTACACGAAGTTTCGTTGTTCTGGTGATAGATTTGTCTTTTCATATTTTGTTTACATGATCTTGCCTTGGTCTGACGACAGGGTATTTCGTGTGTTGTTAATTAAGATAGCTAAAATTGTTTATCACTTTGTAGCCCACAATTTCTGATGACTATATTTTCGTTTTCCATTTATTTATTTTTAATCCATATTTTTCTATAACAGACAATCTGCTCATAATTTTCGTTATTGATGGTATGGTTGACACTGTGATCAGTTTGTCATCGGCATAGCGCAGCTTGTTAATCCGCTTTTCGCCAACAGATATTCCGTCTTGCCATTCTAGAACCTCTCTCATGACGCATTCGCTGTAAGTTTAAAAATAACATTGCTGAAAGAATGCAACACCGGTCTAACTTCTGCGGTCGTTCTCAAAATCTCGTCGATTCCGACTCTCGCGCTGTTTTTTCTGATAGAGGTCGTGGACCAGTTGAACCAGGTGTTTTGGCTTTTTGATAATGTACAAAGCAGAGTTACAGTGAATATTAAATTCTCTAGCCATTTTAATAAATTGCTTGGTATTAAATATTTGTTACCTAGTTCCTTTTCTTGGTACAGAAAGAAAACAGGATAAAGAAGAATCAGTGAAAGTCAAGAACCCCGACAAAATTCTATCGATCTTAGGGTTCTTCACTTTCACTGGTTCTTCTGTAGCCAATAGATATAGACACCTATGTCAATGGCGGGCTCACTCAACCCAGAACTGGAAGCGAATTGTTTGCTGTGACAAGTCAAGCTTTTCTTTTTGGGCTCACGAAGATCGTGGAAAACGCTTAAAGGACGCCTAATACATAGAGAAAGGCACCAACATCAATTTTTGCATATAGTTTGAAACTGTTCTTGTACTAAGGTAGTTATGGTTTGAGGTGCCCTAACAGTGGAAGCTAATTTTTGGACAAAAACATGAACATTCAATGCGACTGCAAAATAAAATTTTTTAGCAAGACAATTCCTCAGAGCACATTGTTGTTATAAAAACTTCCTTCCGCAAGTAATGCGGTAGGTGACCAGACTTATCACCTGTTGATTATTGAACTCGTTTGGAATATGGTAGGTAGAAGGTTTGACTTTGTTAATCATCATCATCTGATTCACGGCATGTCACGATCTGGGGCATGTGAAATGATTAAGAATTCCTTCCAATATTTTTTTCAACTTTCAACTAGCCATATATTATCAAATATATTGAAAAAATGTATCTGCCTTTACTGGCAATTTCTAGTTCAACTAACTAAAACTAACTACTATACTCGAACTATTGACATACCCATGCAATCATAGCTTTCATCGGTCGTCACCCCAACACACCACGTAGAATAAAATGTATACAATAATGCATTTGAACTATTTCAGTGTGGGTTTAAAAACAAAAATTAAAGTAAATAACATGGGAAGTGGTGATATTAATATACGTAGGGATGAACTGGTTCGGAAAATTATAGATTCGGATCGGGATAAAATATTTTCAGGGTTTTCCGCTCTGCATTTCCTGGCTCTGTAATTACGTATAAGTTTTCCTCGTGTGTGGGCGTCTCACGATGCATATTTAGGAATCAGTGGCGTACATAGTTTACAAAACCTTGTTTTATCGGAATCGTTAGTAATGTTTTTGTTGCTCAACTCATCTGTTATTTTTACTGAATTTTATATGACATCGTACTTATTTAAGAAAGAATGAAGGGCAAGAAAATAATTTTATAACTATTGTCGATTAAAAAATTTATACCTAAACTAGAAAACTTTTTGTCCAGGATAGTTCCAGAACAATAAGAAAAGTGTGGAGAATAATATTTTGCTTATATTATCATCTTATCAAGTTTTATACCCTTAATGAAACTTGTTTCACTAAGGGGTATATACTGGAATTAAGAACGCCTATGGCCGACCACTATGAATTGGCACCCCTAGGATACTATTTCTTTAAAAGCTGGCAAAACAGAAAACACTTCGTTGTTCTGAAAACGATGTCACACTCGAAACTATTTCTTTTTGCGAGAATCGCAATGACTTTAGCGGGCATCTGGAAACTTGAACTACCCGATCCGTTCCAAAGTTTTAGATGGTTATATCCAATTTATTCGATAACGATTCACGCAATATATGTCTCCTTACCTCTGCTCTTGGCATTCAATTTTCCATATCTTCTGGAAAATGATCCAGGCGAAGGTGGCATTTCAAATATTTTGATTATCATGAAAATACGTGAAAATTTCAGCGAACGAGTCCCTATCAAAAATACTCTATGGTGTATTACTGATTGCTATGAATCCGAAAGTTCCAAGAGTCTGCTCGTGAGAGCTATTAGAGAAGAGGCCGCTTTGAATCAGTACGGAGACAATTTTGCAAAACGAATTTCTCAAGAACACGTCTTGTTTTGTAACCGGCTCAACAAATTTGTTTTCGTTTCAGCCACAGTGGCCGTTTTTCTGTTGTGGGAAGTTGGTGAGTTGTATAGCTTACCAACAGCTCAATGAAAAGCTTATAATTCTCATAGACTAGGCCAGAATCAGAGTCGGACTTTAGCGAAACCTCTGCCGCTTAGCTATTGGTACCCTTTCGATGAAAACAAATACCACATCTGGATCTTAATCGAGCAGCTGCTGACAATATTTTGCGCTGGATTATCGTTCGCTTCGGTGCATATTTTCTGTAACTCCGTGTTGATTTACATGAGGGGGCAATTGAAAATATTACAATACTACTTTACTAATTTTTTCGAAAACATCGTGGAAAAAGATAGAAATGGTTGCTTCCAAGAATTGAAGTTCCTGTGTGTGAAACATCAAAACTTAATTGAGTAAGTACCTTTCGTTCAATTTTACAACTAGATTTTTTTTTTGAGTTGTAATCCTCAATTTGATGGTGTGCAACATACCTGGTGATAAAGTAACGCCCTAGAACTATTAAATAATGATGCAGCTTCAACTTCAATCAGTATTTTTTTGGAGCGTTTTGTGAAAAAAGTACATAGGGAAGTGGTTTACTTAAGTAGCTTAGCTAAAAAAATTATTAATAATAGTGTAACGTGTTGTTATTACCGTTAAAATCTGCAGTTTGAGAAGATTTAGCAAATACTGCAATAAACTGTTGCTGAATTTTCCGAAAGTCTTACTAACAACAACCTCTCACACCTTTCATTTGGTATTTTAAAACAAATGGTACACTATTATTGCCCCTCTCCCTCTTTCATGATATAATGGTTCTGCTATATCATCAAATCAATTTTGAAATATATATGCTGTTTGGAGTCTTTTAAGAGCCATATGGATATGGATGCAAAAAAGACATGGTTTTACTGAAAAAACTATATTTCATATAAAGAAAGATAAGCCAGATGTTCCAAATTTAAAAAATTTAATCACCATAATTGTAAAATTAACTTATTAGGTTTTAGACACTAGTGTGTCGAATACGTTTACACATATGTGAGGTCTGGTTTCGAATGTGTTATATATATTAAGTAAAATTTTAATATGTCATTTTACGAAGGTTTTAGCGTTATGAACAGAGTGATCTTATTTGCCAAAAACAGAAAGGCAATATTCAAATATTTAATCAAAATAAAATTTTCCAGTAAAGTCAATGCAAGCTAAGGCGGTCATCAGAAATGGCAATGATGAATTATTCACAACGAAACCACAATCAATCGAACTTTATTTAAGTTTCAAAATCCCATATAGTCCCAATAAAATAACATACTAAATAAACGTGGTATGGCAAATTTGAGAGCTAAATCGCATCGCTCATTTACTTATTTGATGCATAAATAATTTTTTTCTGCAGGATCGCCTCCTTTTTAGGTACATTAATACCGCAAATTGTGCTTTCAAAGGAGTAGTGTTTTTTGAATATGCCATTTCTTCCATAGTGTTAGCTACATCAATTATTCAAATTTCTGTGGTAATTTCGGAACAATGATATAGAATGAAAAGTTATAAACAATTTGTATTTATAGGGTGGCAATGTCACCAATAACTTAATTCATTTGTTTGGAGTAACCAGTCAACTACTGCTATTGGCTTGGTACTCGGACGAAATTGTATTTCAGGTTAGTTTTGACGTTTCTCACATCATTTGTTTCCACTGAATCGATATTTTCCCAGAGTCTCGAGTTGGCACCGGCACTTTACCAAAGTAAATGGTACGAATGCAGCAAGGAATCTAGAATCCTGATTAGTATGATGCTGATGAGATGTCAGAAGCCTTTGAGTATCGATATAGGTTCATTTGGAGCTATGACAATTCAATCAGCAATGACTGTAAGTATTGTTATTCGATTGTTCTTGCTTTATTTGCTATGTGCTAAAAGGCATCGCTTCATGCTGAATGAATACCCTCATATTTAAAAGCATATTAGCAGCGCGATATCACCCTGACAGTTGGCTTTTCTTGTATAATACATTCTTTACTTGTCTTATATATTATCTTATTTAAAAAACATCATCTTCAAATTTGGGCCACTAAATTTAAAAAGTTGTTTCTTGTACACTTTACAGGTTGGATCATTCAGATTGTCTTATATTTATTTTTCGTCTTAAATTAAATAGTTATATGGTTAATGATTTCATTTCGTTGGTTGATTTGCTTTAGCACCAGCGCAGCGCAGCAGAGCGAATGTTTAATCAAATTTTATTTCTTAATGAGTTTAATAAGTTTTGTCTCGATTACAAAGTAAAATATATGCTGCATACTAGGAACATGTCTCCTCGGCCAGATTATGTCTACTGCTATTACTATATTGAATAATTGGTGGGTTTAATAAAGTTTCCAAGATCGTTTATACAGCGTTTCGCATTTAAGGTGAAGATATCCCTATATTTTGGTTATCTAAATAAGGTTGATGGTTTACATTTTTTAATATGCTCAACTAAAATTAAACGCGTCCCACGGCGAATCCATGGCACCAATTTTCGATATTTTGCATCGCGTTAGAGACATCGGAAAAAGTTATTTAATATAGAATATTATTCTAACCTAACATACTAAATTAAAATTATTTTGGTCAATACCCACGCAAAGTTATTTTTTTATTTCGTTTGCCATGGAAAGTATGATACTTGTGAAATCATTAATGTCAATCAGATTAAATTTTCAGTTTATTTCATTGAATCCTATTTAGTGATCATCTAATTAAAATATCATCAGAATGGTCAGCTATGACGAATGCACCCGCAGCTGAGCAAATTTACGCGTGAGCCTTCGAGATTTATGATAAGGATAAAATCAGAAGATGTTTCACCCGTCACAAAATCAAGCCCAAAGTTCTTACATATATGAAAAGTAAGTGATACGAATAAAAGTTTTTAAATGACAGGTATTTTCTGAGGAAGACAATGTTTACTGATGAGGCCACCAGAGATGGAGTTGTATCATCTCAAAATTGTAGATACTAGGGCAGAGATAATCCCCACTGGGTTATAAATTGATCGATATTCAGATAAAGTCAACGTCTGTAGATCGGGAATTATGGGATGCTATAGAAAATCTGGCCCTGAATGTTCAGGAGGATATGTATTTCCAGCTAGATGGAGCATCTATTCATAATTCATGAATTGTTCATCAATGATTGAACCAAACATTTTCTATGCACTTGGTAGGAAGAAACAGCCCTCTTGAATCCTGGCCTCCGAGGTCCCCTGACATTGTACCACTCGATTTATAAAACCACACCCAGAAATCGAGACGAACTTTGCGCGAAAATAAGACAAGCCTCTTAAGAAATTAGCATCCTAGAATTTAGACGAGTATCCAGATGGAATAATACAAGAAAGATAATTCTCTTTTAAAAAGTAAAACATCTACCGGGCTGGAAGAAATTCCAATTAAATTAATCTCAATCTCACGATCTTAATAAATAAATCTCTAGAAGTAGGAATTTTTCCTAACGATTTTAAAAATCCAAATTTAAACTTTCGAAAGAGCATTTCACAATCCACTTTACCAATTTTTAAATGACGAAAATCTACTTACAGATTGTTAGCATGACTTTCGCATGGGTTTGTCCATAGAAACTTCTACCACTCAGCTTGTACAGTTTATCTGTGATAGGCTTAATTAGTATGAACAAAACAACTATATATAATGGATTTCAGTGGCAGCAACATTGACTGGGTTCTTTTCATACTCTATCCATCATGAATTAGAAGATGAAGTGAGTTGAATTGAATACATTTAGTATCGAGTTAGATACTCCTCAAGGAAGAATTCTTAACCCTCTCGTCTTTATTTTATATGCAAATGACTTACCAACTATAACCTTTTTTAACACGATGACATTCTGTGATATCAGGAAATGGATAGAAGAGTTAAATTTCAAGTTAATGAATTTAATAAGTTCACTTATGAATTATTATTGAAAAAATATCACTATTAGAATTTACTGGGCATTACTAACAGCCACTTGAAAACTATAATCTAACCTTTAACGGAATAACAATCGAAACGTCTGAGAGTGGGTACCTTTTTGGACTTGAGATTCCGTTGGGCGGATAAAATTGATCATGTTTAGTTGAAATTAAAGGAAACCTCCTTTACATTTTAAACTCCTAAAAATAAAGTTCCTTTTGCAGGTCCTATGAAACAGCAGACCGCGAAGGCATTTAATAAATTGTCATTTGTACTATAAAAAGCATTGCTTATTTTCTTAAATTTAATCAGTTACCTACTAAAAATTATTGTTTTTTTTAAATAAAATAATTATTCCTTTATGTTAATGTTAATTTAAATTACATGAATCTATTACATGATTAAATTGATCCTGACCCTATTGAACCATCAACCCGTATGACTGTGCACAACTTCAAATCTGTATTTATTTAGATAGCCAAAATATAATCTTGTTCATCTTAGATCGGACCCAAAATAATATTCGAGATCACAGTTTCCTTTATTTAAGGCAAATTAAGGCAATACTATTTACAAATCTTCTGTATTCTTCCTGGTCATAGCTGAGGTGAAACTAGTTTGCATTCAACTCTGTACCTACTCCGCTTCCGTCAAATAGTATATAAACAGGTACAGAGTAGAATGCAAACCAGTTTCGGTCGAGCTCTGAAGAAGCTACTAGGACGATTGGCGAAACGTCAGCAAGTTCGAATTCATCAACACCCAACTCAGAAGTTTTTTAAAGAGTATTACAGTGGCCTGTGAACGTTTATTTAATAAAAATGACTGTGATTACTATTTAAATTTAAATTTAATTTGTATTATCGGCAGCTCCAGTAAAACACGGGTTATTAAGTTTGACTTTAATTCAAAATCTATTAGTCTCCCAGACTCATGTACTAGTTATGTGCTATAAATTCTTCGTCTTAAATTTTTGTAAATATTAATGCAAGCTTTTTAAGCGTTTGAATATACTGAAATTTTTTTCTTTCAGAGATTAAAGTTGGCTTATTCATATACATCAGTTATGACGAAGTGAATATGTAAAAGAACATTGGTGAATGTACAAATAAGTATAATATTTTGAATAAAACCATGGTTCCAAATTATTACAATAAAGTTGTTTAATTATTTGCCATTATAAAAACAAGTGGAACTTTTTTTTGGATCTATGCGTATTTAAAAAAATGTTTTTATGATCGAGCGATGAGCATGAAGAATTCTTGATCAAATCAGTACGTCATTTTAAATACGCGGTATTTTCAGCACGTCTAAATCGTGTAATTTATGTCTGTTTGTATGCGGAAATGCAACTTTGTAACTTTTCTTCCGTAATTTGTCACTACTTAGTGCATTCAGTTCATATTGGTAATGCTTGCAAAGCGTACTAAGGAACCTACCCTGTTATGCCTATAAACATATCCTGTTATTACAAGCGGAAATAATGAGGATTAGAGTTTCACTCTTTTGTTTGCAGATTCTATACTTGTTATCCCCTCTGGTTTTCATTGTTTCTTGCTCCACATGTCTCTTTCGTTCTTAGAGCTCGCTTTTACACAGCGTTTAGCAGTGATTTTGTTTTCATAGCGCCCATTCTTACACAAATTAATTTTTAATGTCGACTAGTATCGCATCCTTATTCCTACCTCAGCTTGACATTTCTGTGCTAGTTTTAGCGCTAGTTTAGCCAGGCACAGGCGTTAGCAGCATCTGAAATATTATAGAGTCCTTGTCCCCAATCTTGCTATATACATACAGCTTCTAAGTGCTCTAGGGTATAAACCTTGCGGAATTGTCGGTAGTTTCCGCATTTTTTGGTCCTTCCTGGAATCTTCATGGTCAATAAACAGTCCTTCAAATAATTGTAAAATTTTTCTGGTTTCAATGCCTCGACCAACTCTTCTGTATCAATTTGGATATTCTCAATTATGTCAAGTTTACCTCTTTTGAAAGTTGCTGCGGCTCATGTATCCAATCCAAAGGACCTATGAATATCATCACTAAACATCTTGGTGGTAGCTTAATTTTAATTACGCTTAACTTTGACATCTATGTACAGGAAATTGGTTAATTGTTGCTGTTTTACTTCGAAGCAGCATTTTTTTTTTATTTGTTCACAGTATGTTTAACGTGACAAATCCGTTATTATTATTATTATTATTAGATACCTAACATTAAATTGTAGAGATTATTATTTCATATTATGGAGACCCATCAAACACACTCCAAGTGAAACTAGACATTTAAAAAAATAGAGCTTATAACATTACTTTAAAATATTTAGGGGTGAACAACTTCGGAAAATTATAGGTCGGGGTAAGGATAAAATGTTTTCAGCGCCTTCCAGCGTACATTTTCTTCGCTCTGCAATTAAGTGTAAGTTTTCCGCGCAGTGTAGGCGTATCACGATGCACATTTAGAAGTCTTGTCGAAATCGCCAAACGATATTTTTGAAGATAATGGTCAAACAATGTTGAGTATGAAAGGTTTGAAGTTTTAAGGCTATTTGATAATTTGCAGTGAAAAAAGGTTTCCGTAACATGATTCCTGAAAATTATATAATCACATTAGATTTTTCGTTATCATAATAGGTAGCGTACATTACATAGTTTTGTCGAATTGAAAGGTTTGAAGTTTGATAATTTGCAGTGAAAAAAGGTTTGCGTTAGATGATTCCTGAAAATTATAGAACGCATTAAACAACGGTTTTACATAAATTCTGGACAAGTCCCAGCTGAATAAGGGCATTTACAATGTCACCTTGTCAAGTCTCGTATCTTTTGATGAAATCTGCTCGCTGCGTGAAATAACAAAGTGCGAATTCTTGACAGCTACATGGAGTTAAAATTGTATATAAAAAAAATTTAAGCAAAAAAAAATTGAAAATGCCTATGGCTGACTAATATGAGCTCTGCCACCCCTAGGAAAGTATTCCTTAAAAACAATGCCGCACTCAGAGCTGTTTCGCTTTGCTAGAATCGCGATGACTTTGGCAGGCATCTGGAAACTAGAACTACCTGACCCGTTCAAAGGTCCTACACGAATCACGTGGTTCACGTGATATAAGTCTCATTTCCTCTGTTGTTGGTAATTAATCTACTGCACCTTCTCAAAAATGATCCAAGCGAAGGTAAGCAGCACTCTAAATGAATTGATGATACTTACTCACAATTTTCAGCGAACGAGTCCTTATCAAAAAGTCCCTATGGCATCTTATTGATAGCGAAATTGTTATCGTATCAATCCGAAAGCGCTAAGTGTCTGCTCGTGCAGGCTATTAGAGAAGAGGCCACTTTGAATGAATACGGAGACGACTTTGTCAAAAGGATTTACGAGAAACGCATGACGCGGTGTAACCGGCTCAACAAATTTATTTTCATTTCCGCTACGGTTGTTGTTTTTCTGTTATGCGAAGTTGGTGAGTTGCGGCTTGTCTATTGTTCATTCGAGACCGTCTGGAATTGCAGGAATAGCTGATAGTTTAAAAATTTCATAGACTACGCAAAAATGAGAACCAGATTTTAGCAAAACCTCTGCCGCTTAGTTGCTGGTATCCTTTTGATCAAAACAAATTCCACATTTGGATCCTCACTGAGCAGCTGCTGACAATATTTTGCGCTGGATTATCGTTCGTTTCGGTGCATATTTTTTGTAACTCCGTGTTGATTTATATGATAGGACGGTTAGAAATATTACAATACAACTTCAGCAGTTTTTTCACGCATTTAGTTTAAAGGGACACAAACGAACGCCTCACAGCGTTGAAGCTTTTGTGCGAAAGTCATCAAAATTTGATTGCTTAAGTAATTTGGTAATAAGAGGGTTTGATATCTCTGAGTCAAATTTCGGTTAATAAAAGTTGCAAAACATCAGAAATTTTAGCTTGGTCGTCCGACGAAATTGTAGTCGAGGTCAGTTTTCACGTTTTCCACATGATTTGTTTTCAACTAGCCGATATTTCTCCAGTCTCGAGTTGGCACCGGCACTTTACCAGTTAGTTAGTGGTACAAATGCGGCAAGGAATCTAGAGTCCTAATTAGTATAATGCTGATGACATGTCTGAAGTATTTGATTATCGATATAGGTTGGTTTGGACCTATAACAATTCAGTCGGCAATGACTGTAAATAACGGTGATATAATGCTTTGTTTAGTACATACTAATTGGCAAAAGCTCGACTCTAAATAAATTCATTCATAATCCAAGGCCTACATAAAATAGTATCGTTAATTCGTTGTCTCTTTGTCTCATTATAGGCTTGTTCCTGAGTCACTAGTTCAATATTGTGTGACATAGAAAGTATATGCACACCCAGCAGTCCAGATAAATATGAATGAAACAGTAGATGATATTTTCAAACAAATTTATTGAAAGTAATTCAATAGTTGCGACTCTAGCTAAGTGTTTAACATTCTTCGTGGCATGTTGCGAGATGCAAGCAACAAAAACTTAATTTTGCATCATTAGACAACTCAAAGGTTATATCGTAAAGTTCAGATAAATTGCAATGATCGTTTCCAACAAATTCCGTACTTCAGTTTTACACATCGAATTGTTCCTAAATTAAAGTCAGACCAATTATTTTGCGTACAATAGAAACAAGAATTTGGTGAATGAAAGTAATGTGACAGCGGCGTTACTGCAGATAGTGCATTAGAATAAAAAATACAACAATATTTTGTATTCTAATTATATTTTAATTTTTTTATTTATATTTTGATAATTATTCCAAGATCAATACATCAATCACATCATATTCGGAGTCTATAATTGGAGTTCAGTCAGCTTCCCACATTTTTTCCTCTATTTCTCTTTTTTACAATCTCTTTATTCCATCTTGCAAGAGGGTCTTAACGTCTCTCATTTTAAAAGAGTAATTTTCGGTTTTTATTGTTTTCGTAAAGAAAAAAATCTTGTCATTCAAACTTTCCGACCTTTTTTTTACCCAAGACTACTGTATTACAAATAGAGTATAGATCATCCATATCTACCTTTGGTATGTTGTCTCTCTGTCACAAGTTGTACATCCAGTAAAAAATATGGCAACCGACTCAGCCTAAGTCTGGTGATGTTGCGGGTGAAATTGGATGTTGCAGTTGGAAAACGCGACAGGTCCTAACACATTATTAATATAGAATTGACGACAGTTCATAACATAAGTAATAAACTAACAAAATTTATGAATATACAATTGCGTATATTCTTGTGAACGAGTCTATGCTTTTGTTTGATTAATGGACGTAAATTGATCATTATATGTAAGCTCCGTCCACAGTTTTGGTATAATACCAGGCTCTTTTGAGTTTAAGGATTTGGGTGTGATATAAATCCTTAAGTGTAGGAGATTTTAGTATTAGGGGAGTGGTGATTGAAAAAAATGTGTTGGTCTGAGGCTAACTATAATTAAACGTTATTAGAAACATCATAATGACATCATTTTCAATAAATAACATCTTTCAAAATGTATATTTTTTTCGGGTGTTACGTTACAGTCGGGTAAAATGGAGTCCTTCTTGTCTAAAGGCTGTAAAAAAGCTATCAAATATTTCACAGAAGGATACCTTAGGTCCTGTAACTATCATTTTCCCAATAAAGGCATAATTAATCACAAATACTGCCGAAATAATAAATACTTTGCGGGTATCGACAGTATTGATGATATAAAAAACAATATAATCACCAAATTTGGCAAAGCACTCTGTATAGAAATTTATCAGTGTCTCTTTCATTAAGTGAGCTTTTTGAACTTGGGAATATAATAAGCATTATACAGCTCTTGTTTAAATGCCTGTGATTTACTCTGATCTAATAGTGATAGCAAAGCTGGACTTCTTAAAATTACGTTGAAAAGAAACCAAGGTATTTCGAATTACGCCGACTATTCTGCAATATCCATGAATTGAATTGTAATCATTTACTTTTTTTTTAATTTTAGAGGTTAAAGTTGGCCTACTCGTATACATCAATCATGACGAAGTGAATATGTAAATCAATATTAATGAATGTATGAATATTTATAATATTTTTTGTAAGACTGTCGTTAACTAATACGACAAAATTGTTTTCTTTATAATAGTAATCTTCATAATAGTATGTCAGCTAACCCCATTTCCTAAATTTTTGACTCGACTTTCACAGAGTTTCAAATCCGTTTACTTTAACTTTTTAATTTAAATTTTCCACAGTAAATTTTTTTAAGTTAGTAACAAATAAGAACAAAATTAAAGAATATAATAGACCAACAAATAAATCAACTTTAAAATAATAGGAAATACAAATAATATAAACAATATTCTACATAAAACTCACCACTAAATATAAGAAATATGATCATCACCCACAGTTGGTTTTCTCTGCTGTATTACTTCCTAAATGCCTTTTCTCTCTATTAGTCTTCGCTTATGCTGAGCTTTGGTCCCGAGTAATCGGGTAATATGTAACAACCGTTTAATATTGTTAAAGAATTTGTAAAGAAAATCTTTTTTATGAGTAACATAATAATAAAATTATTAAATTATACTTAGCTACATGCGCTTTAAATAACGATGCATTGGCTAAACAAACAAAAAAAATATTGTTGAGAGAATTCATTAAATTGAGGGTTGGATATAAACATGGGGGCCGTCGGAAAATTACTAGCTTTAGCTCCGAGAAAATATGTTTAGCCCTTTCGTTTCTATATTTCTTTAACTCTGTAATTACGATAAAGTTTTCCGCGCAGAATGGGCGTTTGACAACAGATATTTAGAAATCAGTAGCGTGCGACGGATTTTTTTTTGTGGTAGGTGAGATCAAATTTTCATTTGATTAGTACCTAAAATTTTGCGAGGTAAATATATTAATATATCGCAAATTGTTATTCTGAAAAATAACGATATTTCGGTAAGTGGATTAGTAGTAATTAAACGGTGTAGTGAAGGCATTGTTACTAGTTTCCTCCATGTGGTTAGACCGAACAGTTCGCTTTCAGGATGCTAAAAATTTACCCTCCTAGTCCTCTTAATGTTTGGTACCCTAATGAAGCTTTTAAGCGGATACTAGGATCGAGATATTTCATTTGAAGTATGTTCCATTGTCCTTCCTACCGTTAGTGACATGGAAACTCTCTTAATAGGAAAATTCTAAAACTACATTACAAGCTTAAGTTACTACACATTACATTACAAACTTTCATACAGGATACCAGTTTTCAATTAGATGTAGATGTTGGCGGATTCATTGATAAAAATATATAATATACTTTCAACCCTAAATATCAAGCAAAGCGAAGTTTGAGGACGCCTATGAAATACGAACGTGAACTATCCAGAGCTCTCTGGTAGGCATTCCTTTAAAACCACGCGAAGTAGAAAACGCGTTCGTTATTCTGAGAATGGCGCCACACTTAGAGATATTTCGCTTTGCCAGAATCACGATGATCGTATCAGGCATCTGGAAATTAGAACTATGCGATCCTTTCAAACACTGTTCACGTGTGTATCCTATTTATTCGGTAATGGTCCACGTGATATATACTTCGTTTCCTCTACTGCTCTTAATAAATTTCCCTCATCTCGTGAAAAACGACCCAAGTGAAGGTAGGGCGGGCAAACTGAAGTTTAATTGCTGGATAAACAAAATTTTCAGCGATGGAGACGATATCGAAAATTCTCTATGGTATCTTATCTATAGTGAAGTTGTTTTCGTATCAATCCGAAAGTTCCCAATGCCTGCTCGCCAAAGCTATTCAAGAAGAGGGACATTTAAATGACCATGGTGACGACTTCGTCAAAAGAATCCACGAACTGCACGTTTCGTATTGTAACGTATTTAACAAATTTATTTTGATGTCCGTGGTCTTCGGAGGGTCCGTGTTGTGCGAGTTTGGTAAATGACAGCTTCTCAGTTTTACTTTCATTGGTATCTACCATTTTAGGGATAGCGGATAGTTATAAATTCCATCGACTACCAAAGAACGAGAGCGTTAATGTGGCGAAGCCGCTACCGCTGCCATTTTGGTATCCTTTCGACGAAAACAAACATCACGTCTGGGTTCTGGTTGAGCAGCTGCTAACGATAGTATGGTGCGCCTTATTATTTATTTCGGTACAGATTTTTAGTAACTCCGCTTTGATTTATATGAGAGGACAGTTAAAAATCTTACAGAAATCCTTTAAAGAATTTCACCAAAATATGGTCGAAGGTGACAGCAATAGTGGCCTTACAGCATTGAAACACATATGTGTCAAACATCAAAACCTAATTGGGTAAGTAATTCTTTAATCATAGCTCATTATGTGCTTTGTTTTGAGGTTTTCTGCTGTTGAGCTTTTGTATATAATACAAGTTGTCTGGGCGAATTCTTTGATGTTACTCTTCTACCTGCCTTTTTTATTTTACAAAAAATGTCCTCTTATAAACTAGACCAGTACTCGAATACACGAGTTCACTCAAATAATTGACTCAAAAATCTATTAAATTTCTTCGAATTTGTGTCCATGAAATTCTTTGCCGTAGCGAGAAATCAACTATTGTTAGCTGCAAATCTTAAACTCATGGGTAAAACTGTTTGTATATGTCTATGTTTATATGTTTATATGTAAGGTAAGTATGTACTTATAAATTAAAGAGCTGTAGGTGACTCGGCTATAATTTTCTCCATAATAAATGAGAGGTGGATATATTCTATTTCACCTCACCAAATATACACATATTACAAAAAATAACACTCTAACATAATATATGCGATCAAATATTTAATTTCAGAACTTTTTTTAATTTAATATCATTAGTTTTTTAAATTTTTCTATAGTCAAAATCTAGAGTCTTCTCATAATTTAATATAAGATGATGTTCATTCCACTAATTTTTCTAAATAGGCATCGTACAATGCACAAATACCGTGCTACGTTTCAATTGTTTCAATTGTCAAGGATTCTAAGTAACTCACACGGCTATCTACAACCGTTTGGCCGGTAGTGTAAAAACTTTGCAATTTGAACAATGCTAATTAATTATTTTTTCAACGATGGTTATTTTGCCACCTGAAATATTATAATAATATAAAATAATAAGTTTTTATGCATATTATAATTAAACTCCGATTTTTTATACGTTGCCTATAAAAAATAAGTTATTCTGTTACTAAATGCTTTAAAGATCAAACCCAAAACTGATTATTTCATAAATAAAGCTGAATGGTAACATCATTCAACAGAACTAAAAAGGGAAACAAAATACGCAAAATAAGGGTCTCTCTTCAAATGATTCTTCTTCCAATTTGAAAGATCTTTCTATAGTTCCATAGCGGTAAAGCAGTTTTAAGTCCAGTTAAAGATAAACTAATAAATAAATAATAAATAATAGATAAATTTTGCCATGGTGAAAAATTAACTATTAATTAATTAAAATTAATTAATTATTTGCTATAACTGGTAACTGGTATCTTCAATTTAAATGTCGATATTTCAGCCCTTGATTGGGTAATTCCACTTCAGATTTTTGACTAAATAATTATTTGTTCATATGTATATAAGTTAATATGTATAAAAAAATAATAAAAATCATATTTTAACCGACAGTTAGTGATGATTGAACATGCAATGCAATGTAATTTTAATTTTGAGTATTTTGAGTTACACTTCTCCTTGAATTTTTTAGGTACATAAATACTGCAAACCGTGCTTTCAGAACCGTAGTGTTTTTTGAATATGGTATTTCCTCAGCAATGCTAGCTACAGCGCTTTTCCAAGTCGTTGCGGTAATCATTTAACCCGTATAAATAATTATAAATATCGCTTATCTTTAGGGTAGAAACGTAACAACCAATGTTATTCACGTGTCGGTACTAACCAGTCAACTCTTACTCTTGGCTTGGTCGTCAGACGAAATAGTAGCCCAGGTCCGTTTTATTTACATTTTGGTACCTCAATTGGTTTCATAATAACGCAATATATTCCCAGAGTCTCGAATTGGCACCGGCACTTTACCAAAGCAACTGGTACGAATGTGACAAGGATTCTAGAATACTGATCAGAATAATGCTGATGAGATGTCAAAAGCCTTTGAGTATTGATATAGGTTCGTTTGGAGCTATGACAGTTCGGTCAGCCATGTCGGTAGGTAATAGCAAGTTTTCAGTATAATTCAATTTTGGAAGTCTAAATCTCCTAAGCTTTTAAGATATACGTTAAATATGACACAAGCCATGTTCTAAAAGATAAATTGATAATTGCCAAGTTTTTTTTTTGAATGATTAAGTTAAAAAAATTAACATATTGAATATTGGAGCTCTTAAGATTGTAACTTTTCTTACCTAGTTCGTTCACCTGTCATATATGTATGTCATATATATGATACCCCTGTATATAGCTAAAGTATTCTTACTTATTTATATTCCTATTCATAATTTTTGTTCATATCAAAGTTAAATGGAAATAAATTTCACATACTTGCCTTGTCCTAAATTTAAATTTTTTATTTAGGCAACAGCAAACATTAGCTACTCTTCCTTGCGGCTATCCGTTTTGCTCAATATTTATAGTAAAATGTTTTCTCTTATTATCATAAAAAATCAAATATAGCATAGAAAAAATTTGGTAAGCAAACAAATTTCCAATTATCGCAGATCCCTATTTGGTTTGGTAACCTATGCAACCAGCTATGAAGATATGTTTTTACCTGCCCTAAGAGAGACAGTAAGCATTGACACATTCAAATTCAGCTTTAGCGCCATCTACTTATTTTTGGCTTATGTTTTTTCGGTAGTAAATTTGAAAAAAGTAATAAAAAGGGGCGTACTCAGGGGTAATTAATCAATGTCACTTAGCTCTTCGGACAGGTGAAAACACTTCTTCAGAACTGGAGGGATAAATCACCCAACTCTAAGAATGGCCTCAATCGTACTACTAACACTTTTAAGTAGACCATCCACAGACTGTTTATGACTCATGGTAGCACAGACCTTAGTCTACAAACCCGGTAAGAAAATGCCACGACGATCTTGAACTACACTACATTGTTCCTGTCGCACTGATATTCCAGCTGTAAGCTCTGAGAGTAGAATATTTTTGTGGACTTTATCAGGCGTGGCATGTTCTCAACTGGTTTTCACTTTAATTGTGAATATTTTAATGATTTTTAATTTTAGCGATTGAAACTGGCGTATTCGTATACATCAGTAATGACGAAGTGATCGTAAAAACCAATTATGCAATTATCATTCGTGCAGAAAGTATCAGCTTTGTTACCCCCAATTGCTAACCACTTCGGACATTTCCGATACATTTTTAACCTGAGTGTATTGGATAGTTTTTTTTCTTGAATTAGCCTATTTTCGAGGTATGTTCTATATTTTCTACAAATGTTAATTGTTAAATACACCCTCATTCGAATTAACTGTGTTATAGTATATTCACCTGCCACCATTTTCAAAAACAAGAAAATTTCAAGGAACACCCAGTTAACAAATATCTTACCTAATTAGATAATATTACCTATTAGTATCGAATTGGCTGGTGTCTTTAAAAGGAGAAACAGTATTAATTTTTGTAATCCAAGATAATATGCATGATAGTATCTTTCTAGAAATGAAAACGTAGCATCACATTTTTTGGAATGTCGCCTCGCTTTCCAAATACAGGCTGTAAAAAAAATTGATGCGTTTTCTTTTTGTTATTAATTTAGTGCAAACTGTACTTTAGTGATGATATTCTTGTATAAAAAAAACTTACCTAACCAGCATCAAATTTCTTTTTTGCATTAGGTTTATGCAATTTTAAATAACTCAGATCTCAACCTATTTAATAATATGCAAATTACTCTATCGAATAAAAAACTGTATACTTGAAAATCACTTTGAAAAAACGCTGAAACGATAGACATGGTGTTAACACATCAGGAAGAGAATTTCCAAGTACGGGACTGGAACGTGGAAGCGGATTGCAAAATTGAAATTGTCTATTGTATTAAAATTGTTCTTGAGGAAATCGTATAGGCAGCGAACTTAGAACTTAGTTAGTTCGATTGCAGCAATGGATCGCCTATATTTAAGTGTCAATTAGACTAACTTAATGGCGATTTTAGTAGTCTAGCAAGTCTCCCCCAATCTAAATTTCGGTCTCACATTGCCCTAAATTGCGGCTGTTAGTAATTTGAATTTTTTTTTATCTTCAGCAGCGTAATTAAGTACTGAATTTACCGAAGTTTTACAGAAGCTGTAGTCATAGTAACAAATAAGTTAGCTACAGCGAATTCGACCTAGAAGCGGCTTCATTAAAAGATGTTTTTCTCGCATATGATTATTTAAGGATGTCACTAATTTTACTACATCTAAATAACAATTCGATGCTGTTGTCTAAATTAATGAATCGAAAAACAAAAGCAAATGGTGTGTGCCGAATGAGATGTGGAGTCATGGTACTCAAATATTTAGTGGCGGACATAAGCGCGGAGTTGGCGGTTGGGAAAATTACAGGTTGGAAAAGCGGGAAAGTATATTCAGGCCTTTCCACTATGTATTTCTTTAGGTCTGTAATTACGCAACAGTTTTCCGCGCAGAGTAGGCGTTTCGCAATTTAGATGTCAGTAGCGTGCGCCACCCGAAATTTTCTACGGTAAAACTGGTTGAATATATGTTTGAAGACTGCAAAAAATATTATAAAGTAAATCCACAGCAAGAAACAACAACAAATAGCTTGGATCCTATTTTCTTTGATTTCATATAGAACAAGCGTTGTAAAGTATGTTTTTTTCTAGTTTTTGATAAAGATTGTTAACTAGCAAGCAGAAAATATATATTCTCAAATTCTTTCAAAATATTATCTCCGTTATTTACCAATAACGATACCAATTTTTCTGTGTGATGTGTGCTTTTTTCCCCCTCTCCGCCATACCAATTCTTTTTTTCCATGGCTTGGTCTACCTTATCCCGAAGAGGTGTTAGTCTACATCACTTTCGGAGTCATATGGGGTTCCAAAAGGCGTTTCTCCACAACTTTTTCTACTAATATTTTCTTGTTTATTTAAGTAATTTTTATTTAGTAATTTGATCTCTTATTGTTGTGTCTTCTTCCGTATTCTATTTCTATGGCTGCGTTTTTGCTTTTTTTTTTATTGTCCAGTTCTCAGCGCGGTAGGTCGTGGTACTGTGGTGTTCAAAATTCTTTTTGTTGTCTTTTTCATAATATGTGTGTGCTAAGGTACTAGTACTCAGTTTGCCTTAATCTGTTGGCGTACTTGACCTGCATTTTTCAAATTACATTTATACATTTTTGTTACTTTTCTGAGCAGCTTGTGCAGTCTGTTGCTAGTATTGTTTCCAATATCGGGTCCTGCTCCATGGGGATTAGTGAGACAAAGTTCCTCTAATATTTGACAGCAATGAAAGATAGTTGAAAAATAATAGCTGCATTGCAACGGCGCCTCGATACAGACACTTGTTGCTTACATTAGTACATCGCAACTCGAAAATCTTTGACAAATTTGACACCGGCGTAACAGTCAATGTCTTTTTTTAAATATTATATATCTTTGTTACACTTGAGGTACTTGTATGTATTAATACAAGTCAGGAAAATTAATAAAATAAAGCGACTGTATATTTTATTTAGTTGAAAGCCACGAATGCAATGTGCAAAAATTTAATTTGATATTTATTTCAAAAATGCTCTTTTTGATATGTCATCCTCAACTACACGAACGAAAGAACTACTTCAATAGTTAGCGAGTATGTTTTAATCTTATTTCACTAGATAATTAAATGTTTAATTAAATAAGAAATCTTTGATGTAAGTTCAAGAGTTATGAGAAAGTTTGGGACGCCTATGTATAACGGATATGCATTCCTTTAAAACGCCGTCAAATAAAGAACGAGTTTGTTGTTCTAAGGACGATGTCGCAGTCAGAATTGTTTCGCTTTGCCAGAATCACGATGACCCTAGCAGGTATCTGGAAACTAGACTTACCAGTACCGTTCGAATGGATTTCCCAAGTGTACCCTATCTATTCGGTAGTGGTTCATATTGTATACGCGTCGCTTCCTCTATTGCTGACCATGAACTTCCCATACCTATTGGAAAATGACCCCATCGAAGGTAAGGAGGCACTGCATTTCGTTTTTTAATGTGAGAGAGTAATAAAATGTAAATTTGCAATGACAAGCATCATTAAATAAAGTTTAGATATATCATTTTACATAGGATTATTACAGAGATGGGCAAATAATTGAGATATCAATTATCCTAATATCAATTAAATAAAAACTTATATTTTGTTATTTAAAAAAATCTACCATTTATAATAAAAGTTAATTTGTGCAGGATAAACTATAGTCGTTGAGGTCTAAAGAAATAATAAGGAACTCTAGAGAGTTCTCTATGATGTCATCACTTGTTCGACGCACTTATCCACTGTCTTTATTTCTTCCTGTAAGAGCGTATCAACGTCTCTCTCATTTTCAAGTGGTGTTATGCCTTGCTGCAAACCTTTTTATTTGAGTCAATACCAATTCTGTGGGGTTTAATTCACGGTAATATGGCGGAAGACGCAGTACCGTTAAATTCCGTTAGGGAGCGATTTCGTCGGCAACAAAGAGGTTTATTCAAATTTACAATCTCCAGATGCTCCTCTTCTAGTACATCCTTTTGATATTGTTCTAGCATTTGCCGAAAACAGTATTTAAAAACACCAGCATTCATGTCTTCATGACACTCTCCAGTCCGTTTTGATTAAAATGCTAGTAGGCCATCATCAAACACCCACAATCAATTTTTTCTACCAATGTGAGTAATTGTTAGTCCTTTATTATTTCCGAGGATGCTTTTATATCAATAGACCATCCTTCCACGCTTTTACAATTTTTATCCTGCGGTGTATTAGTAACGGCACATCCTTAATTTGCCCATAAAAGACACTTCTGTTTTTCTTGTCTGTCACCGCCATGAGACCATTGCGTCTTGCAAAATTTATTTCTTCCAAAGTTTTACACAAGTTATTTTACCCGTAGGTGGAATGAAGTTAGCCTTTTCCTTCCTCCCTTCTGTAAAATACCTAATTGCCGCACGGCTTGAATTATTACGTTTGTCAATTCAGACGATCATGTCAGTCGTAGAAAAAGTATATTATGCAACACGTTTGGTACACTTTTTAAGACACTCGTTTATAAAACACTCGTGACTCAAATGCCGTTTACCGCACTTATTGCGTAATATACTATTTTCATTTCAGTCATTATTTTGTCTAAGGTATTTCTGTTCTTAAGTCAAACCTGTGTTCTTCTGATGGCAGTATTTCAATCTTCATCTACTGCAGTTTTTTTTCTTCCTGTACTTCTCTTTGGCGACATGATATGGCAGCGTTTAACCTCGTGGTTAGATTGGTGACTGTACTGTTGAGTTTTGATGGCGAAGATCTTTGAACGCATTGAGAATAGTAATTTTCCAATTTTTGGAAATGTCAGCTTCACTACTCCCTTTCTAGGCAACAAATTCAGAACCACTAGCCCTTTTCAAGAACGAAATTTGCCATTAACTGCCAGAAAGTAAATATAATTCTATTTTTAAACATAACAGGTACATCAACTACCAGTCCGTTGACCTGTCACTCTCGGGACCTCTAACATACAGAGTATAGTAAAAGGTTTAACTTAATTAGGTGAATCTTTCAGCCACCGAGAGTCTATCGAAAATTCTTTATTGTGTGCCCCTGATAGTGAAGTTGTTTTCATTTCAATCGGAAAATTCAAAATATCTGATCATTGGAGCAAACGCGGAGGAGGCTCGTCTATATCAAAACGCGGATAACTTTGTCAAAAGCATTCACGAAATGCACGTCCTCTATTGTAACCGACTAAATAAACTTATACTGATGTCCGTCGCGTTTGCTGGTTTTCTGTTATGCGAATTAGGTGAGTCTAGTTTTCTTAGTTTTACAATCAATACCATGTAGCGTTGCAGGGATCGTGGACAGTTATAAGTTTCACAAGCTAGTAAAAAATGAAAGTAAGATTATGGTAAAACCGCTACCGCTACCGTTTTGGTACCCTTTCAATGAAAATAAATATCACGTGTGGGTTCTCACCGAGCAATTGTTGACAATTGTATGGTGCGCCATATCAATCGTTTCGGTTCATACCTTCAGTAACTCTGTTTTTATTTACACGAGAGGACAGCTAAAGATATTACAGAGCCATTTTAGCAATTTTCACAAAAATATCGTCGACGGTGGAAATGGTGTGGTGGGATTGAAGGAACTCTGTGTGAAACACCAAAACCTAATTGCGTAAGTAGTTAAATAATATATTTTGATTTAATTTAACTATAAATATTAATAATTAATAAATGTAATGTAATCTAACAATAATAATGATAATAATAACATTTTCTTTCTAACAGTATAAAAGTATAAAAATCTGACTTATACCTAAAATAAAGACAATTTATAACAAAAAATAATCAGATGGAGAAAAATATAGTATAGACAAAAAATGGAACGGAATTCCGCAATTTTTAAAGCACCAGAATTTGATTTTTTTTTTTGAATCTTAGAGGTGAGTGGTCAAAATTGAGTATTTTTGTATTTATTTATATAGTAAGTTAAGAACAACTTTTTGTTATTGTGGTGTCACATATTTTGAAATTTACTCGAATCTCGAAACTTCAGTTTTATAGTAGAGATACAGAAAATTTTAAATCAAATTATTTGGTAGAAAAATATCCCCAAAAAGCTCTTTTGGTTTCCAATTTCATAAGCAGCAAATAAACCTAACGCAGGAGGTGTACCTATAAAAATCATTTACAGTATTTTAAGTGTACCGCAAACTGCTATCACGGGCCATAGATTTTAAAAAATATTATGAAATTGGAAAATTTTTTGTTGTTACTTATCCCCTACATATTGAAAATATCAATTACTTTTTATTATATGTTTTAAGCTTAAAAATGACGGATTTGCGTTACTTTTTTTACTTGAAAAACG